CCCTAAACCCTAAACCCTAAACCCTAAACCCTAAACCCTAAACCCTAAACCCTAAACCCTAAACCCTAAGTTTCTAAGATGGTATCAGAGCGGGAGATCCTCCCTGTTGGATCGCCTCCTCACGCTTCCGCAATTTACTCCTCACTCTCATTAGCTCGAGCGGCCATGGCGGCCGCGTTTTGCTGCAGTGGCGACGTCGCGCTGCCACTGGCCGCGTCGTGCCGCGACCGGCTCGACGCGCTGCCGTGGCGTCGGGCCGTCGTTCTGCAGTCGCAGCGTCGACGTCCCGCTGCGGCATCGACGTCCCGCTGCGGCATCGACGCTGCCTCTGCCGTCGCGACGTCGACGTCCTGCTGCAGCGTCGACGGCGCCGTCGGGCCGCAGCCGGTTGCGTCGAAGCTTTGCCGTGGCAGCGTCACCTTGCTGCCGTTGCAGCGTCGGCGTGCCGCCACAGCGTCGACGCCGCGCCCTGGCGGCGTCGTCATGCTGCCGCGGCAGCGTGGATGGGCGGCAGCGGGCAGCACGCCGTCGTAACCGCCACCTGCCCGCCCTCCTGCCAGTAAGCGCCGCGCCAGTTATGGCGCGTCGCTGAAGACTCGCCTCGCCCCGCCCCCTCCCCTCCCCCCCCCACCTGCACCTGCTTCCCCTGCATCCCCCCCTTTCTTGCTGCAGCCGATGACTGCCATGTGAGGGACCTCTCCACCGCCGAGGAGACAAGACATGCCGCCGAGAGGGCGGGGGCCGCCGCACCAGCCTCTGTCGTTCGAGCCGCCGGCGCCGCCGCTGTTGCCGCAGGCCTGGAGCCGCCGCACACCGCCGCCGCCGCCGCCGTCGTCACTGTCGCTGCTGCCGCCATTGCCGTCTCAAGGGGCCGTGAGACCTACCCTCTTCCGGAGTCGTTGCGGCTCCTGCTGGGAATGGGGGTGCTGGGCTAGGGGGTGTGGGTGTGGGTGTGGGTGTGGGGGTGTGCGTGGGCTTGACACTACCAAGCCTAGGGGGTGTGTTAAAATTATATAAGTTATAATTTAATATAGGCTTGGTAGGTTGTTATTGAACCTTTCTGTAGGGGGTACAAACCCCTCCTTGTACTCCCCTCTCTTCCTAATCCAACCCCCTTTCTTCTCGACATTCTCTCCCTTCCTAGATCCGTTTTTCCTCACGCTATTCCATGGCGGCCTTCTTCCTAGTATCCTAGCCAACCTAGCCTCCTAAGTTTAAGAACCTTGAGTCCTAAGTTTCTAAGAGCCTGGACTTCCGAAAGCCAGGGCTGTACTCAATGTTAGCGAGGCTCCATAAGGAAAAAGGGATTTTCCTTACATCCCGCATCTGTTGAAGGGAGAGTCTGATAAGAGTTGTAGCAACACGCTCTTACCAAAACGAGTTGATTGAAGGTTACACGTCATCAGTGAAAATCGGTTACACAATGCTCTTTCTTGCAGCCAATGCCAATTAAGACATTAAGGAATTGAACATGACCGCAATACCTTACATTCAATGCAATTTGGGCACTCTATAGCAGATGCTGGCCACATCTAGTCAAGCCTTCAGTTGGCAAGCCTGCCCTGCTTCTTGGTCTTGCGGCTACCCTCCTCCGCCTGTGACAAGAAACAAGGTTTGGGAAGAAAAAAACAATGCCACCTGTAAAATGAAAACCTGACATCCAACCTCCAACTGTTACCTCTACTTCGATGGCATACCCGTGCAAGCCCCCGATGATTTGCCCATCCTGACATTTGGGGCTGTCCGAAAATAATAACTCTCAATCTGTTCTTTCCCCATGGGCGTTGTCATCTTCCCTTGTCCAGACTGCAGATGGCTCTTACCGACGTCCTTGCGACAAGCCAATAGCGACTCGCCCACGTTTCCTCAGCATCATTGCGTGCAATGGCTTACCTCTTTCCTGACCTCCGCCTCCTTCTCCGACAGAATCAGCTCGATGTGGGACGGCGACGACATGTAGGCTGCACAGAAACAAGGGAAAAGGCGGGGAAAGGGGAAACATGCAGGCGGGGGAAGGGCGGAAACATGTGGGTTGCAGGATCGCGATGACAGGTGGACAGGGCACATGGGAACAGCGGGGAAAGTGGGTTGTAAGGCAGGGGGACAGAAGAGCGGAGCAGAAGAAGGAAAAAGAAAAAACAAGGCTTGATGAAGCTTGGAGGAAAAAAGGAGGGGGGGGGGAGGGTAGGGAAGTGGGGCAAATGGGGAGGGTGTAACAAGGGATGGGGCGTGGAAGGCGGGAGAGTTGAGAAGGTTCACTCATGATTGTGCAATTGCAGGTGCTGCGGTGGGTGCGAGTGTGGGGTGGCGGTGGGGGAAGAGGGGTGGCTGTGCGTGGTCCGTGCAGGTGTGGGATGAGGAATAGCGGAAACTTGGGAAAGAGGGAACGAGGGGGGCGGGGGGGGGGGGAAGGAGGACGGCTACTCACGGTTGATGCGACCGTGCGCGCGGTACGTGCGGCGGCGCTGCTTGGGCGCGCGGTTGACCTGGATGTGGCTGACGTGGAGCGAGTCCACGTCGAGACCCTTCACCTGTTGCCAGAAGGGGCGGTTACGGGGATGGGTTTAGGGTGAAACAGAAGGGGCGGTTTAGGGTTTATGGAAGAGAGCGAGGGGATGTTCACTCCGCCTTCTGCTTCCCGTTCCGCTGCCGCTACCACGTGACCTTTGAGTCTGAGTTGACTTACGAAGTTACCGTGCTTCTGTTCCGCCACCGCTCCCAAATTTCACAGTTCCACGATTGCGCCCTAACGGGAGATAGCGGGCAGCCGCAGGACACCATGTACAGCGCGGGGGCGATTCATACCGGCGGGCTGATTGTGGAGCCGTGTGCCCTGTCGCCAGGGCCGATTGGGTGGGTGTCGTACCTCGGCGTTGCTCTCAGCGTTCTTGAGCAGGTCCAGCAGGAACCGCGCCGATTTGGCGGGCCACCGGCCTTGGCCGTTGGTGTGCACCAGCTTCACCTGTAACGGGCAGCGGGATGAAGAAGATTTTTACGGAGAATTGAGGAGAGTTGCGGAAGCACTTAAGCGAGGAACGAAGTATAATGACAGATCGTGCCCAGCCGTAACCTTCATTCTCCACAGCACCTTTCGCCCCGCACCCCTAACATGCAAGGTGTGCCCCACGCTACCGCAGAAGCGGCGGCGGGGCACGGCATGCTAGTGCGCGACGACGCCATAGACCTGCTGTTCACTCGGTGCGCTGTTACGCCCCCCACACCCCCCAATCTCCCGCCCACCTCTCACCTCTCGCCTCCCCCTCACACCGCCCTCACCCGCGCGGTGCGGCCAACACCACCGCAGAAGCGGTGCGGAAGGGCACGGCCTGCGTAAGGGTCAACAATATGTGCACCTCACACCCACCCCTCACCACACCCATGCCTGTGCAGCTATCTCACCTGCGCGGTGCGGCCGACGCCCCCGCAGAAGCGGCGGAAGGGCACGGCCTGCTTGTGCGCGATGACGTCCTCCAGGAAGCGCTTGGCCTTGGTGAGGTCCATGTGCTTGATGGCCTGCGCTGTCTCGCGCGTGTTCTGCGGGGCGTGAGTGGGGGGAGTGGTTAAGAGGGCCAGAGGGTGAGTGGGGGGAACGGGGGGAAGGGAGAGTTGGACCTTAGGAGATCTATGTGCTTAATGGCGTGCGCTGTCTCGCGCGTGTTTAGGAACAGAATTGGAGGAATAAACACTTTGGAGGGGAGGGCAAGAGGGGGACCATCCATCATACCATTTTGTGATTGAAAGGAGGGTTTAGGAGCGGAACGCAACGCGGGAAAGACGCGAAGGCGGGGGCGGAGGGGGACGCGTGGGGCGGGGGTTAGGCTGTAGCATGAAAGGAGGAACATAAGGGGGGAGGCGCAGCATTGGTTTGAGAGGAGGGTGGGGGAAGCGGGACAGGACGGGGTGCGGCTCTGTACCTTGAAGTGGACGCGGAAGTCTCGCCTTGCATGCTGCAACTGGTGTTTTTAATCCTCACACAGATGAAACAGCACTTTACACAGAAAAACGGTTCTTACCTTAAAGTGGACGCGGAAGTATGAACCTCTCGCCTTGCATGCTGCAGCAAGGTAAGAAACGGGACGCGAGTGCAAGGAGGGGGGAGGAAAAAAAAAGAAGTAAAAAGGCGATACGTAGTATGTTAGGAGGGAGAAGGCGAGAGAACGGACAGACGGGGGAAGGGAAGGAAGATGTGAGACTAGCACACTAGAGCGAGTTCAAATTGTTCGAATAGCGGGGCGCTAGTTCACCAATAGGTTGCGATGCATCAGTCGCGAATAGCATTTACATTCAGGGTTAACTGAACCACAAAGCAAAGCTGCCTAAACTTGAGATCCAGACTTGCTTCCAAATTGCTGGCTGTGAGACTGCCTAGGCGACCGTTCCAAATGCTGACTCTAGTGCAAGGACCTAAACGAGTAGCCCAGTCGCCGACATACAGTGGCCTGCGAATTCTTGCGGCCAGTAGATCCCAGCTCGTTCGTTGAAGGAAACGATCTTATGCCGACACAGTTTGACCTATGAACAAGCCGAAATGCGGACGAGGCTGCAGAATGCTCCACGAAAAGCGCGAAGACGATAATCGGACGGTCCACTAGTCGTAGACGCGAAGATTCAGGAATTCTGTGATGCGACGACTAGTAATCGGGTCTAATAGAATTTGTTCGGATATATACGTTTGATACTCGACTGCAAACTTAAGTGAAACGTACACTTTGTAGCGTTGGCGGGTTCCCTCGCGTACTTCACCTGCACAACAGGAGCACACGCGATGACACGAGGAGCGACGCAATGATAGAAATATGACGGCGATTGACAGAGAAAGAAGTAGAGCAGTTCGCAAAAGCTACGCTCATAGGAAGTACGACCAAGAGCCGAAAGCCCAACGTTTCTCTCAAAACCATCATCCATTCTCGACCCTGGTCGCATTTCGCCAGACGCATCCAACGAGCTGACACACGCGAGTTAACGGGATCCCACGAACGTATCACACCACCCTCTGCCGCTAATGCTCACCATTGTGATGTGTGGGGAGGAGAGAAGGGAAGAGACTACGCGGGAAAGGAGAAAGAAGACGGAGAGAGGAGAATTTAGGGTTAGTGCGGAGTTCGTGGAGGGAGGGAGAGGGGAGAGGGGGGAGGGGGGCGGGGAGGGTGGGGGGGAGGGTGGAAAGTAAGGGCAGCAGGAGAAAGGTGCTTTGAACTCGTTAAAAGGAGACACTACACCACCTGCTCGAGTAAAGCGACACAAGGTCGGACATCATAAGCAAACACGGGTTTCCCTAAGGGAGTCGTAACACTACAGCTCTGGGCCTGACGAAAATATGGAAAGTTTCACGAACAGAAGTGAGGGTGTTGGCGCTGGGATGGTGGTTGACCACAATTCGTGCCACACTTAGTCTCCGTTTTTTCGCATATATTCATCTATTCCAGTACTTGCCCCACACTTAGGGGGTTTTGAAAGTTTTCTTCAACTATATTGGGCTGATAAAAGGCCCTTAGGATCTTTCGAGAGACTTAGTCCCACTTGTACAAGAATGCTTGAGTAGTGCAGCGGAAGTGTTGAGTAGTTGAACCCTTGCACTTGTATGTGAGAGCAAGTGATTGATTAAAAGAAACAAGCATATAGCAATATATAGAAAATAAGAGATGAAGCAGTTGTAGAAACGCTTATTGAGTCGCACAGCGATTCGATTGTCGGTTTGGTTACTACCCTTGCAGTCGTAACGGTCAGTCGCAACCTCCGGTTGCGACCCTTCGAGTCCCTTCGTCCTTTTGTGTTCTTTCATCCAACCTCATAGTGTAACCTCTGTTGACTCGTGTACTCGTTACGACTTCCCTCAAGTGTAGTGTTACACTTCAGAAACGCTGAAGTCTTCGAGGTATTTCCAATACTCCCCTTCGTTTCTTGAGTGCTGACGTGTCCGGATTCGGTGACGTTTATCTACCCGGTCAGCAGCATGCAGTAATCGAACTTTGCCTTTGCCAGTTTCTTCGTCAGGTAATCTGCAGCCATTTCTGTCGTGGGGCAGTAACTGAGTTGAAGTCTCCCCTTCGCGATCTCATCCTTGACGAAGAAATACCGCAGAGCGATGTGCTTGGTTCGATTGGCGAACCCGTTTTTGTTCGCGATTTTGGTCGCGGATTGGTTGTCGCAGAATAACGAGAAGGCGTGCATGGTCGCAATTTTCGCTTCCTCGAGCAGCTCCCGCAGGTTAAGTCTTTCTTTGGTCGCAGAGCAGAGGGCGATGTATTCCGCTTCAGCCGAGGATAGCGCGATTAGTTCCTGCTTGCTCGATTGCCAGGAAATAGTACCGATAGGCTCTAGTCGGTAGATGTAGCCCGCTCTGGAGCGACGATTCTCCCTATCTCCCGCGTGGTCGGCGTCGACATAGCCGAGTAGTTGTACGGACGATGGCGTTACTTTGCTGTAGGTAAGTCCGATCGTCGGCGTAGAGACGAAGTAGAGCAGTGCCCGATTTAGCTCCTCGAGATCCTCTTGCTCCGGCTGCTTCAGGTGTGGCACCAGTTGGCTCGCGCTGTAGGACAGGTCCGGTCAGCAGGTTACTGCTGCGAACAGTAGACAGCCGAGCTTCTGTTGATATTCCTGGATTTGCTTCGCAGGGAGCTTTGCGGAGGTATCGCTGTTGTTCCCGTAACGATAGGGAGTCGTGACTGCGACAGGCGTTAGTCCGAACTTCTTCGCGACAACGCCTGCGTACTTTCCGGCGTATAGGTAGAACGCCGAGTCGTCTTCGACGACGTTCAGACCTAGGTACTGGCTCACGGTGTCTGACACCGTGAGTGTTAAGTTACTCCTCAGCTCCCCTTCGAACCAGGTGGCGACGTCGGTAGTGGAGCCAACGTAGAGCAGGTCATCGACGTAGACGATGAGTAGGACGAAATCCCCCCCCTTTCTGTAGTCGGTACATCCCAAGATCATGCGGCAGCTGCAGGAAGCCGATCCTGATGAGGCGGCCGTGAAGGTGCTGCTGCCAGAGCCGCGGGGCTTGTTTGATTCCGTAGAGGGATTTTACCAGCTGGCACACTTTTGTGGGATCGTCGATGAATCCGTGGGGCTGCTCGATGAAGATTTCGGCATCCACAGGTGCGTACAGGAAGGCATTGGCGACATCGATCTGGCGCAGTGGTAGCCTTTTCGTGGCCGCGACGGCGAGCAAAATGCGCAGGGAGGTATGTCGGGAGACTGGGGCGAATGTCTCTGTGTAGTCGGTTCCGTATCGCTGGTTGAATCCTCGTACGACCCAGCGAGCCTTGAAGCGGTCGATGGAGCCATCCACATTAGTCTTGATACGGTACACCCATTTCCCTGAGAGCACGTTCTTCCCGTTGGTTTTTGTTGCAGGTACCAGCTTCCACGTATTTCGGTCTTGTAGGGCCTTCAGTTCTTTTTCCATTGCTTCCTTCCATTTCGCCTTGTGTTCCCCCCCCAGAGCCTACGACAGAGTCGTTGGCTCACGCGGCAACGGCGGCGGCGGGCTCTGGACGGCGACCCATAGTCCAAGTATTTGCAGGCCCGTGAGTGTGTGTCGAGGGGAATTGTCATTCTCGGGATAAGTTGTTTCGTCACCATCTTCGGGGTCAGGTAAGAAATTGGGTCCGATGCGTTCAGAGATATTTGTGTCACCTGGTTGTGGTGTAGTGGAACCCTGGTCAGCGAAGTGGTAATAGGTGTCGAGGTTGTTACTATCAAGAGGATTGCCGTCGTCGAGTGGAACGGGCACGGAGCAGTAAGGGAGTGGTCCGGCAGCTTTCGAGGCTTCAGGTACGTCTTCTTCTGCGGCGTCAGCTTCGGCAGCACGGTCGGCGAAGGACCGATGGCCTTCGAAGCCGTCGGTGGGGTCTGTTGTGTTGGCGATGTTGTCCAGGTAATGCTGCAGCGTCAGTCTCTCGTAGAAAATCACATCACGTGAGGCCACGGTGCTTTTGTCATGAATGTCGAGAAGTTTCCATACTTGGAAATGTTTTGCGATGTCGAGGTGTAGTCCCCACCGTGCTCGTTGAGAGAATCTTCCTGCTCGGGCTGTGTGGGGTCTGTACTGTACCATGCAGCCGAAAACTCGAAGTAATTTTGTGCTGCTTTGTTTTCCTGTCCACAGCAGGTGCGGTGATGCGCTGTTGGGAAGTGATGACGAGGACAGCAAGTTGTGGAGGTGGACTGCATGTGTCATCGCATCAGGCCACAGTGTGTTGGGCAGTCTCATCCCCAGGAGCAGCTTTCGCATCGTTGTGTGCAAAGTCCGGTTCATCCTCTCTGCGACCCCCTGCTGCTGGTGAGCGTAGGGCAGAGACACCAGGCGTCTGATGCCTCTTTCTGCCAGATAGCTCTTGAACCTTTGTGACTGGTACTCTAGTGCCCCGTCAGATTGGAAGCTTTTGAGTTGGGAGCCCGATTCTCGTTCAGCGATGGGGAGCCACGTTGTGAAGGCTTCGAACGCTTGATCACGTATCTTGAGGTTGTAGTGCCAGACTTATCGTGTTGCTGCGTCGATGAACGTGATGACATAGTTGTACTCTGCTTCACTGTCATCTCGACGCATATTTAAGATGACGCTGTAAACTTTTTCCATCGGTGCGTATGCAGGTGCGCTTGGATTATGGTGCGACGGGAAAGGTTGGTGGGGAAGATCGGCTTCAGGACACATGAAGCATCGTGCGCGGGGTCGTCGAAGCTCCTGGCCGCTCGTTGTGAGAAGAGCGTCCTTTTTTAATACTCCGGCTTGTATGGTTTGTAGTACTGTGCTGTTTGCAGGGTGTCCGAGGCGTTGATGCCAGATGTCGTCGGGAGCGCGATGGACGGGTGAGCGCTGGTACATGTCGGCGTTGGAGAAGAACGCGACGACCATGGCAGGACTGCGGCAGACTCCTCTGGTGATGGGCATGAGTTGATCTGCTTCGGATGGCAGTCCTCGGATTGCTGGTGATGGCGCGTGGCCAGGTCCTGCTGTTGTTACTACAGGTGATGTCGATGAAGGTGTACTTGCTGGTACTTGTCATTCTTGACGAATGATTGCTAATGTGCATGTTCTTTCTGCTGCAGGGATGGTGTTGGAGTACCAGAATCCGTCTAGAGTGAAGTCGGGGTCAAGGTCCGGCGGGTGCGTCCAGGCGATGAACGACACGATGCCATCGCTGTCGGCAGTTCCGCGGTCAGGGACGAAGTCCAGCACGAAGACGCCCGACTACAGGAGAGCGTGATCGATGAAGAGGCCGCCCTTCCCGTGGTAAAGTCGAAACTCGTTGGCGTCCGAGTCACATTCCAGGTGAATTCCCTTCGCCATTAACTGGCTGATGCTTAGTAGATTGTATCCCAAATTGTCGACGATGAGAACCTTGTTGAGTTGTAGTATGACGTTTGTTTCCATTGACTAAAGTTGAACAACTCCTTGTCTGTTTGTCTTCAGGTTTTCGTTGTTGGCGACGGTGATGATGATATCGCGGTTGAGATGTCGCTCTTGTTGCACGAAGCGTCCCGAGGAACACATGTGTTGGCCGCAGCAACTGTCCAAGAACCAGGTGTTTCGCCCGGTAGGTTCGGCGTTGGCGACTGCAGCATACGTGGGGTTGACCTGAAGACCTTGTGAGCGCGGCGGCGGCAGTTCTTCTTCGTCTGGAGCGTAAGTGGGTGGTGATCTGGGTGTGCAGTTGTCGATGTCCACCATGCAGTTAATAATGTTCGCTGCACCTTGTGCAGGTGTAGAGGAGCGGCTTGGCGGATTCTCTTGAGTGGAGGCGACTTGCGGATCTGCTGGGCGATGAACTCGAGGGCGTGTGCAGTCGACCTTGGAGTGCACGGATGTCTGACAGTTGTGGCAGAACGGCGGCACGATGGTGAGACCTCTGGTGCCGTATCGGTTCTGCTTGTCACGTCGGTTGTAGTTGTTGTTTCTTCTGTGAGTATAGAAGACTAACGGTTGCTACTTGTTTCTTCGTTGTCTTTCTTCAAACAGGTCCATCTCCTGTTGTTCGGCATAAAGCTCGGCGCAGTGGTGCATTTCGGAAATTCATTCGTGGGTGCGAAGGAGCGAGCGGGTGGTTCTCCATTTTGGTCCGAGCCTGGCGAGAACAAGTGTCACGAAACTTTCTTCAGTGATTGTGCCTCTGCACCGAAGCAGGCGGTCGCGAAGTGTCTGGCAGCGACTCATATACTGCATCGCCTTTTCCCCGATCTTCATTTGTATTGTTACCAGCTGCTGCATGAGCCTGCTTTGTGTCACACTGTCGTTTGCTTGATAGAGACATTTCAGATGATGCCAGGCGAGCTCCGCGGATTTTCCGTAGCTCCGATATGTTTTGATGCTCTGTTGCTCTTGTGGTGACAGATTTCGCAGGAGAACTATGTATGCCAGCAGCGACTGATAAGTAAGATTTCCTGCTCCTTTGCAGTGCCATTGCTTGGAAATGGCAGGGACCCGTTGAAGTATCCCACGAGGTGCGCGGCCTCCATCAGCAGCTCGAACTCAAAACTCCAGGTAAAGAAGTCGTGCCTGTTGAACGGTGAAGATGTCTGCAGTTTGATCACATGTGAAAACTGCGCCTGGAGACTCAATATCTCGTTTGGTGTCTGTTGTGATGCAGCTGCTGTCGGTTGAGCATGGGGCGGCATGAAATCGAACGTCCCTGGTGAAGAGTGATAAGGCGCAAAGGTAGGCGCCTGATTGTGCCGCCCGAATGATGAGTTGTCGAGGCTCATTGGTGCTAATCCCATATTTTCCCCTGTTGCTCTGTGTTGAATGCGCAGGTGTCCTTGTCTGCTGCTGCTGGTCAAAGTGCGACATGAAGCTGAAGAACCTTACCATAAGGTTTGGGTCCACGCCTAAAGAGGGTGAAGAGGTCACCATTTTTGGTACCCTTCCTGTTGTTTCTTGAGCAGCGCCGGTCTCAGTTTGTAGTCCTGAAGTGTGTAGTCCAGAGGTGCCGGGTTGAGTGTCTTGGGCGCTGGGTGAGCCCGTAGAAGACTTCTTGCCCTTGTTGTCCATGACTTGTAATCAATGAAGTTTTGATGTGCTGACTGTAGATAGAATGTCGTTGATGGGAGTTTGGTCTCTGACCATCTCTGATACCATATTGGGCTGATAAAATGCCCTTAGGATCTTTCCAAAGACTAAGTCCCACTTGTACAAGAATGCTTGAGTAGTGCAGCGGAAGTGTTGAGTAGTTGAACCCTTGCACTAGCATGTGAGAGCAAGTGATTGATTAAAAGAAACAAGCATATAGCAATATAAAGAAAATAAGAGATGAAGCAGTTGTAGAATACAGTTGAAGGAACGGTTATCGAGTCGCAGAGCGACTCGATTGTCGGTTTGGTTACTATCCTTGCAGTCGTAACGGCTAGTCGCAACCTCCAGTTGCGACCCTTCAAGTCCCTTCGTCCTTTCGTGTTCTTTCGTCCAACCTCCTCGTGTAACCTCCGTTGACTCGTGTACTCGTTACGACTTTCCTCAAGTGTAGTGTTACACTTCGGAAACGCTTAAGTCTTCGAGGTATTTCCAACAAACTAAAAAGCATGAAGTGCATTTGAACCAATTGGTTGCGGGCATTAAAAACCACTAGCTAAAAATGCACACCTTGGTCACACATGAAATTAAAGTTTTTGGAGGCTTCGAGAAAAGAACTCATTTCGCAAGAACGACACTTGGATGACACGGAAAGAAAAGCCTTCGACGTATTGGAATGCCCATTGGTTCATAAAACAAAGGCTAAATTCAGGAGCAGGTGTCTGACCCGCGGGTCTTGTGGGAAGATCTGAGGTTGGAAAACACTTGCTCCGGGCCTTGCGAAAAACTGACGGCTGATGCCGGTAGCAGATGTTGGAAATATCTCAAAGGACTTAAGCGTTTCTGAAGTGTAATACTACACTCGAGGAAGATCGCAACGGGTACGCGAGTCAACGGAGGTTACACGAGGGGATGGGCAAAGAACGCGAAGGGACTTGAAGAGTCGCAACTGGAGGTTGCGACTAACCGTTACAACAGCGCGGATGGTAACCGAAGCGACAATCGAGTCGCTGTGCGACTCGATAACCGCTTCTGCAACTGTATTCTACAACTGCTTTACTTTCCTATCTTCTATATATTGCTGTATGCTTGTTTCTTTAATCAATCACTTGTTCTCATATACTAGTACAAGAATTCAACTACTCAACTTCCGCTGCACTACTCAAGTCTCATTCTTCAACTGGGACTTAGTCTCTGGAAAGATCCTAAGGGCTTTTCTCAGCCCAACATGGTATGAGAGCTGGTCAGAGACCAAACTCCCAGCAACTATGCTCTATCTACAATCTGCAATTCAACGAATTCATTGATTACAAGTCATGGACAGCAAGGGCAAGAAAATCTCTACGGGCTCACCCAGCGCCCAAGACATTCAACCCGGCAACTCTGGATTGCATACTTCAGGACTGCAAACCGAGACCGGCGCTGCTCAAGAAACAACAGGAAGAACACCGGAAATGGTGACCCCATCACCCTCTTCAAGCGTGGATCCGAACCTTATGGAAAGGTTCTTCAGCTTCATGTCGCACTTCGACCAGTAGCAGCAGACAAGGACGCCTGCACATTCAACACAGAGCAACGGAGGGAACATGGGACTAGCGCCGATGAGCCTCGACAACTCATCGTTCGGGCGACACAATCAAGCGCCTACCTTTGCACCTTATCACTCTTCACCGGGGACATTCGAGTTCATGCCGCCCCGTGCCCAACCAACAGCAACTGCATCACAACAAACACCAAAAGAGTTTTGAAGTCTCCAGGCGCAGTTTTCACACGTGATTAAACTGCAGACATCCTCACCATTCAACGGACACGATTTCTTTACCTGGAGCTTTGAGTTCGAGCTGCTGATGGAGGCTGCGCATCTCTTGGGATACTTCAACGGGTCCCTGCCATTCCCAAGCAACGGCACTGCAAAGGAGCAAGAAATATTTACTTATCAGTCGCTGCTGGCGTACACATTTCTCCTGCGGAACCTGTCACCACAAGAACAGCAGAGCATCAGAACATATCGCAGCTATGGAAACTCCGCGGAACTCGCATGGCATCATCTCAAGTGTCTCTATCAAGCAAACGACAGCGTGACACAAAGCAGACTCATGCAACAACTGACAACAATACAGATGAAGACCGGGGAAAAGGCGATGCAGTATATGAGTCGCTGCCAGACCCTCCGCGACCGCCTGCTTCGGTGCGGAGGAACAATCACTGAAGAAAGCTTCGTGACGCTTGTCCTCGCCGGGCTCGGGCCAGAATGGAGAACCACACGCTCGCTTCTTCGCGCCCACGGAAGGATATCGGAGATGCACCTCTGCGCCGAGCTTCACGCTGAACAACAGGAGATGGACCTGTTCGAAGAAAGACAACCAAGGAAGCAGCAGCAGTTAGTTTTCTACACTCAACGAAGGAACGACAACAACTACAATCGACGCGGCAAACAAGATCAACGCGACAACAGAGGACTCACCTTTGTGCCACCGTTCTGCCACAACTGTCAGACTTCCGGACATTCCGAAGTCAACTGCACACCTCCTCGTGTTTATCGTCCAGTAGACCCACACGTCGCCTCCACTCAAGAAAGCCCTCCAAGGCGCTCTTCCACATCTGCACAAGGGACACCGAACATCATTAACTGCATGGTCCACATCTACAACTGCGCACCCGGATCACCACCCACTTACGCACCAGACGAAGAAGAACTTCCGCCGCCGCGCTCACAAGAACTTGAGGTCAACCCGACATACGCTGCGGTCGCCAACGCCGAACCCACCGGGCGAAACACCTGGTTCTTGGACAGCTGCTGTGGTCAACACATGTGTTCTTCCGGACGCTTCGTGCAACGAGAGCGACGCCTCACCCGCGACGTCATCATCACCGTCACCAACAACGAAAACCTGAAAACAAACAGACAAGGAGTGGTTCAGTTACAATCCATGGAGACAAACGTTATACTTCAACTCAACAAGGTCCTCATCGTCGACAACTTGGGATACAACTTACTAAAGGGATTCACCTGGAGTGCGACTCCTACTCCAACGAGTTTCGCCTTTACCACGGGAAGGGCGGTCTCTTCATCGGTCGTGCTCTCCTGAAGTCCGGCGTCTTCGTGTTGGACTTCGTCCCCGACCGCGGTACTGCCGACAGCGACGGAATCGTGTCGTTCGCCGCCTGGACACACCCGCCGGATCTTGACCCCGACTTCGACCCTGATGGGTTCTGGCACTCCAACACCATACCTGCAGCAGAAAAAACACGAGCATTAGCAGTCATCAGACAAGAAAGACAAGTACCAGCAAGTGTCCCTTCCCAACCATCACCGGCAGTAGCAGCAGCAGGACTCAGCCGAGTACCACCACCAGCGATCCGAGGACCGCCAACCGAAGCAGATCAACTTATGCCCATCACACGAAAAGTCTGTCGAAGTCCCGCCACGGTCGTCGCGTTCTTCTCCAACACCGACATATACCACCGCTCGCCCGGCCATCGCGCTCCCGATGACATCTGGCACCAACGACTCGGGCACCCTGCAAACAGTACAATACTGCAAACCATCCAAGCAGAAGTGTTAGAACGCAACGCCCTCCTAACAACGAGCAGCCAAGAACTTCGACGACCATGCGCACGGTGCTTTACGTGCCCCGAAGCCGATCTTCCCCACCAGTCTTTCCCATCTCATCACAACCCAAGCGCACCTGCATACGCACCGATGGAAAAAGTCTACAGCGACATTTTAAACATGCCTCGAGAAGACACTGAAGCCGACTTCAACAATGTCATCGCGTTTATCGACGCAGCAACAAGATACGTCTGGCACTACAACCTCAAGACGCGTGATCAAGCCTTCGACGCCTTCACAACATGGCTACCCATCGCTGAACGAGAATCAGGAACAAAGCTTAAGAGCTTCCAGTCAGACGGTGCACTGGAATACAAGTCACAACGCTTCAGGACCTATCTGGCGGAAAGAGGAATCAGACGCCTGGTGTCTCTGCCCTACGCTCACCAGCAGCAAGGGGTCGCAGAACGCATGAACCGGACCTTGCAGACGACGATGCAGAAGCTGCTCCTGGGGATGAGACTACCCACCACACTGTGGCCAGACGCCATGACACATGCAGTCCACCTGCACAACCTGTTGTCCTCGTCATCGCTTCCCAACAACGCATCACCGCACCTGCTGTGGACACGAAAAAGGGGCAGCACAAAATTACTTCGAGTTTTCGGTTGCATGGTACAGTACAGACCCCACACAGCTAGAGCAGGACGTTTCACCCAACGAGCACGATGGGGGCTACACCTCGGCATCGCACAACATTTTCACGCATGGAAAATCCTCGACATACAAGACAAAACTACAGTGGCATCACGTGATGTTATCTTCTACGAGCGACTGACGCTGCAGCATTACCTGGACAACATTGCCAACACACATGACCACACCGACGGCTTCGCGGGCCTTCGTTCCTTCGCCGACCGTGCTGCCGATGCTGACGCAGCAGAAGAAGACGTACCTGGAGCCTCGGAAGCTGCCGGACCACTCCCTTTCTGTTCCGTACCTGTTCCACTCGACGACGACAATCCTCTCGATAGCAACAACCTCGACACCTTTTACCACTTCGCTGACCAAGGTTACGTTACACCCCACCCGGTCGACACGAATGTTTCAGAACGCATCAGCCCAAACTTCTTACCTGATCCAGAAGACGGTGACGAAGCAGCCTATTCCGGGAATGAAAATTCCCCTCGACACACACCAACAGGACTGCAGATACTCGGCCTATGGGTCTCCGTCCAGCATCCGCCGCCGCCATCTCCGCGTGAGCCCTCGACTCTGTCACAGGCTCTGGGGGGGGAACATAAGGCGAAATGGAAGGAGGCGATGGAAAAGGAGTTAAAGGCTCTGCAAGACCGAAATACATGGAAGCTGGTACCTGCAACAAGCATCAACGGGAAGAACGTCCTCTCGGGAAAATGGGTGTACCGCATCAAGACCAATGCGGACGGTTCCACCGAACGATTCAAAGCTTGATGGGTCGTACGAGGGTTCGATCAATGATACGGAACCGACTACACAGAAACATTTTCCCCAGTCTCCCGTCACACCTCATTGCGCATCCTACTCGCCGTCGCGGCCACGAAGAAACTACCACTGCGCCAAATCGACGTCGCAAATGCTTTCCTGTACGCACCTGTGGACGCTGAGATCTTCGTCGAGCAACCCCACGGATTCATCGACGACCCCACGACAGTATGCCAGCTGGTAAAATCCCTATACGGGATCAAGCAAGCCCCGCGGCTCTGGCAGCAGCATCTTCACGGTCGCCTCGTAAAAATCGGATTCCTACAGCTGCCGCATGACCAAGGCATGTACCGACTGCAAAAGGGAAGAGAGTATATCCTACTCATCGTTTACGTCGACGACCTGCTCTACATCGGTTCCACTACCGACATCGCCACCTGGTTCAAAGGGGAGCTGAAAGAGGACTTGACACTCATGGTGTCCGACGAAGTGACCCAGTACCTGGGACTGAATGTCGTCGAAGACAACTCGGCGCTCTACCTACACGCTGGAAAGTACGCAGGCACTGTCGCGAAAAAATTCGGTCTAACGCCGACTACGGTCCCGACTCCCTACCGCTACGGGAACAACAACAGCACCTCCGCAAAACTCCCCGCGAAGCAAATCCAGGAGTATCAGCAGAAGCTCGGCTGCCTACTATTCGCAGCAGTAACCTGCCGGCCCGATCTCTCTTATAACGCGAGCCAACTGGCGACGCATCTGAAGCAGCCGGAACAAGAAGATCTCGAGGAACTTAATCGGGCACTACTCTACTTCGTCTCCACGCCGACGACCGGGCTCACCTACAGCAAAGTAACGACACCGTCCGTACGACTACTCGGATACGTCGACGCCGACCACGCGGGAGACAAGGAAAATCGACGATCGAGAACGGGCTACATCTACCGACTAGAACCTATCGGGACTATCTCCTGGCAGTCGAGCAAGCAGGAACTAATCGCACTATCTTCGGCTGAAGCAGAATATATCGCCCTCTGTACTGCGACCAAGGAAGGACTCTACCTACGAGAGTTGCTAGAGGAAGCGAAGATTGCGACCCTGCCCGTCTTCTCACTCCTCTGCGACAACCAATCTGCGATCAAAATCGCGAACAAGGACGGCTTCGCCAACCGAACCAAACACATCGCCCTGCGGTACTTCTTCGTCAAGGATGACATCGCGAAGGGGAGACTTCAACTCAGTTACTGCCTTACGACAGAAATGGCCGCAGACTATCTGACGAAGAAATTGGCGAAGGCAAAAATCGATTACTGCATGCTGCTGACCGGGCAGACAAACGTCACCGGATCTGAACACGTCAGCACTCTAGAAACGAAGGGGAGTGTTGGAAATATCTCAAAGGACTTAAGCGTTTTTGAAATGTAACACTACACTCGAGGAAGATCGCAACGGGTACGCGAGTCAACGGAGGTTACACGAGGGGATGGGCAAAGAACGCGAAGGGAGTTGAAGAGTCGCAACTGGAGGTTGCGACTGACCGTTACAACAGCGCGGATGGTAACCGAAGCGACAATCGAGTCGCTGTGCGACTCGATAACCGCTTCTGCAACTGTATTCTACAACTGCTTTACTTTCCTATCTTCTATATATTGCTGTATGCTTGTTTCTTTAATCAATCACTTGTTCTCATATACTAATACAAGGATTCAACTACTCAACTTCCGCTGCACTTCTCAAGTCTCATTCTTCAACTTGGACTTAGTCTCTGGAAAGATCCTAAGGGCTTTTCTCAGCCCAACAGCAGAAAAGCCAAACATTCGCAAACGATGCACGAGTAATCGTCCGCCGATGTACCGGTACAACCAGCAAAACACAAGCGCAACATGCCCCGGGCTTGCAGTATGGTCGCAAATCCTTTTGTTTTGCGACAGATAGATACGGTTTTGCCGTCAAGCATAGTAAAATCGCAATAACGTTTTGACAACCAGTGGCTCCTTCAGCCGCGGGTCTGCCTTGTGTCTGACGCTCGCTTCGAAATTTATCCAAAGAAATTTGGTAACTATCACAAACATCCATTTCTAGTAGCAAATAATGTCGAGTGACACTGCGGGGTTGCTGAGTTTTCTGCTATAACGGGAGCTTCAGCGGAAATGCCTGACGCAAATAGAGCTCTTTAGCTCTGTGGTTCTCTAAGGAGAGAGTTGCCTTCTGAACTGTGTGTTTCGTTGAGTAGCTTGGAAAAGCTTAGGCACACAAATTCACTAGAATCAAGTTTACAAATTATGGTACATAAGGCAAACACTAGTACTACCCCATTGAACACGGAGAACGTTTACATAACTACTCTTAGCTGCGCTTAGCCAAGTCAGCAATGGCACGTGAAAATTACATGCTTAGTTGGTAATTTTTACCCACCCAGAAGTAGTTATTCTAATTGTTTCAGGTGTGAAACTGTCAGATGTTACGCACATTTCCATAGTTACAAAATGTGCGTTATGTGTTCAATTTTTCAATGTCGCAGGCAGATTTTGCCGCTTTCGGTCCAGATCGGTTATGTGGTTAACTTACGAAATAGCGAATTTCTCGCGATTTCGGAACGCCACCTTCAGCAGAAAACTAAGTCCCCGATTTTCTGTCGAAGGGGTCGCTCGCAGAAGTGAAGTCCGAGATGACTCTCTGTCGCGCTTCTACCGAATTTCGTCTCTGCCGAGGGGATCGACAACAGAAGAGATAGCCGAATTGCCTTTCTGCTGAACTTCGGCAGAACGTAATTTTGCGTGAACTGGTCCTTGCGCCACTCTGCCCGAGGTCCTATTGGAACGCATTTCCGAGAGTCAACTCTGCCGAAAGAATCGCCTACTACAAAAGCACCTGTCGATGTAGAAGCCATATGCAGAAAAGCGCCCCTGTTCTGCCACTCCGACGAAACCGTTTTTCAGCCACCAACGAATCTGCTCATCTGCCACTTCCCGCAGAGCCTCGCCTTGTCGACAAATCTGACCTTCGTCGACGGGCCTTTATGCAGGGCTCGTGTTTGCATACTTCGTTGATATGCCGCTTCAGCAGACTTCTGCAACCTTCGCAGAATCGGGGATATTCTCAATACTCCCTTGCACTGGTCATGCGAAATCACCAGCCAGCAGAGAACCGATCTAGAGGAAATCCTAAGGGAGGAAAACACACAGAATGAAGACACAAGAAATTACGAGAATCTGCACTTCTTCGCACGCTTGAATTACCGCACCAACCATGAAAGAGGTCATGGCACCTACTCTTCCTCATAAGAGGCTCCTTCTGCGCTTCCCTCAGACAATTGCACTTGACCCACTCTGCCGAAGCATAAATTGAACGCGATTTCAACTTGCGATGCGTGACCATCTACTGCAGCCGCATGTACCGCCGCTCCATATGCTTAAGGCTCCCCTTGAGTCCCATCCCTTCCGACACAGAAATCACAGATTGATTGTCGACATAGAGCGTCGTGGGCTCATCCTCGTCGAGGAGCCCGTACTCTGCTAGCAAAAAGCGCAGCTTGCGAGCTTCTTTGCCGGCCTCCACGGCAGAGATGTACTCAGATTCCGTAGACGAGAGAGTGACACATTTTATCCTCTTGCTCGCCCACAATATTACAGCTCCACCAAGGGTGAAAATGTAGCCACATATGCTGCTACGACTCTGCCTGTCCCTAGCATCGTCAGCATCTGCAAAACCGACGCAGCGCGGATTTGTGGCTTCTCTGCCGAGCCCGAGAGCTAAGGGAGTCGTAACACTGCAGCTCTAGGCGTGACGAAAATATGGAAAGTTTCGCAAACAGAAGTGAGGGTGTTGGCGCTGGGATTGTGGTTGACCACAATTTGTGCCACACTTAGTATCTGTTTTTTTTCATATATTCATCTATTTCAGTACTTGCCCCACACTTAGGGGGTTTTGATAGTTTTCTTTAACTAAAAAGCACGAAGTGCATTTGAACCATTTGGGTTGCGGGCATTAAAAACCACAAGCTAAAAATGCATACCTGGGTCACACATGAAATTAAAGTTTTTGGAGGCTTCGAAAAAAAAACCCATTTCGCAAAAACGACACTTGGATGACACGGAAAGAAAAGCCTTCGACCTATTGAAACGCCCATTGGTTCATAAAACAAAGGCTAAATTCTGGAGCAGGTGTCTGACCCGCACGTCCTGTGGGAAGATCCGAGGTTGGAAAACACTTGCTCCAAGTTTAGGGTTTAGGGTTTAGGGTTAATCTCAGGGTTCAGGGTTTAGGGTTCCGGGTTTATCTCAGGGTTTAGGGTTTAGGGGTTTAGGGTTTAGGGTTTCGGGGTTAGGGTTTAGGGTTTAAGGTTTAGGTTTAGGGTTTATGGTTTAGGGGTTTAGGGTTTAGGGTATAGGGTTTAGGTTTTAGGGTTTAGGGTTTAGGTTTTATGGTTGGGTTTTGGGTTTAGAGTTCAGGGTTTAGGGTTTAGGGGCGGTCAGCGGCGGTGAGCGAGGGCTAGGGCTAGGGTTAGGACTAGGGCTAGGGCGGAAGCGCGGGTGGGCGGGGAGGGTGTCACAGGATCGAATGTGTCAAGGAAAGGTTGCACTATCGATCAGTACAAGGCGCTTTTATACTTCCAAAGTACATCAGGTAACCAGGTTTATCTTATCCTAAGGGAATAGACCCTTCTACAAGATAGAATCACCCTGCGTATAGCCACGCGAGGCTATTGGCTTTAAGGGATTCCGGCAGGATTACGCCAGATAGCGCACCAGTACATCCCAAGCCTGGTCGGTGATATAATTATAATAGCAAGATAAACCAAAGGTTAATGGAAAATGGAGAATAGGAAACCAAATGAGATGAGATAAAGAGAAATGAACGAGGATGGAAATAAGAAAAGGGACAAGTGGTGTAACGGGGTCGTACTCTCACACTTCCCCCCCTCAAAGCTGGGTGGTAGAAGTAACACTCTGCTTGACAAGGTAGTCATGCAGAGGGCGACGGGCGTTACCCATGTCGGACTCAGGGACCCAGCTGTCCTCAGAAGGATCATAACCCTTCCAACGGATGAGAAGCTCCATGGTGCCATTCCGACGTCGGCGGTGTGCTAGCACGGACTCGACCTCGTACTCGGGTTCATTGTGGACGAGGACGGGCGGCGGCGGCGGCGGTTGGCGTCCGACGAAGATTGTGTTCGGATCCCGGTAGGGCTTCAGAAGCTGGACATGAAAGGCGTTGTGAATCTTCCAGGTAGCTGGCAGGCGTAAGCGGAAGGTAACAGGAGTGGCCTGTGCTTCAACGAGAAAAGGCCCGCAGAAGCGAGGTCGAAGTTTAGATGGGAGGTGGCTGATGTCCAGGTTGCGGGTGTCAAGAAGCACCTGGTCTCCCACCGTGATGGTGTGGTCGTTGCGATGGCGATCGGCCTGGCGCTTTTGTTGCTGTTGAATGTCGAGGAGGCGCTTATGGGTCCGATCCCAAAGCTGATGCATGGTTGTGATGAAATCATGTGCAGGTTGTACCGTAGCGGATGTTGTCGGTTTCTGTGGTGTGAGTGGGTGGCGTCCGTAGCAGAGGAAGAACGGCGTCTGTCCAGTAGCGGCATGCGTAGCATTGTTGTAAGCAAACTCTAGTACGGGCAGGTGCAAGTCCCATTTGGAGATGTCGTCCTTGCAGGCTGCTCGGAGGAGTTGCTCAACAATTTGGTTGAGGCGCTCGGTCTGTCCGTCTGTCTGCGGATGGTATGCGGATGACATGGCGAGTTTGGTCCCGAGAAGAGACATAAGTTCCTTCCAGAACTTGCTGGTGAACTTGGGGTCTCGGTCGGAAATGAGTGTGGTTGGAATGCCATGCTGTGAGATGATATGACGAACGAAGAGCTGTGCTGTCTCCTCGGTGCGTGCCGTCGTGTGTGTCGGGATGAAGTGTCCCATTTTGGAGAACTTGTCAATGACGACAAGGATTGCGTCATGACTGCTGGTGGTAGGTGGTAACCCGGTGATGAAGTCTAGGCTAACCACTTGCCATGGCTGTTCTGGAACAGGAAGAGGCTGCAGTAGTCCCGCCTTTTTCTGCTTTCTGCTCTTCATCCGCTGACATGTATCACACGAGGTGACGAATTTCTGGACGTCGTCTGCCATGTGGGGCTAGTAGTAGAGTTTGGCGATACCGGTGAGCGTCTTGTTGCTACCGAAGTGTCCGGCGTACAGGACGTCATGGTATTCTTCGAGTAGTAACTGGCGCAAAGGAGGGTAATTTGGTACCCAGATTTTTTTTTATCCTTTCCGGTACGCGATGTCGCTGTCCCATTGTAGCAGGTGTCGCTTTTCTGCCAAGGGAATTTCGGGGTCGATGGCGTACCCGTGTGTGAAGAGTCCCTTGAGTAGTGGATTCATCCCTTCAATCTGAATGGCGGCAACGTGTGCAGGCCGGCTAAGAGCGTCTGCTTTGTTTTTGTGGCCGGGCTTGTACACGATGTCGTAGTGGAAGTGTGTCTCGAGGAAGTCGATCCACCGGACCTGCTGCCTGGAAAGATTGGGTTGTGTCTTCAAGTATTTCAGGCTGCAGTGGTCGGTGTAGACGGTTGTTCGTCGTCCTTCGAGATAACATCTCCACGCTTTAAAGGCGATGACGATGGCAAGGGCCTCTTTGTCGTGTATCGGGTAGTTTTGTTCTGCTCCGTGTAGTTTCTTGCTGAGGTAGGCGATTGGTTGCAGTCCATTCCCCTAGTCTTGAATTAAGACTGCCCCCACTGCGTGGTCGCTGGCGTCAGCTTCGATTACGTAGTCGCGTTCGGGATCTGGCAAGATGAGTACCGGTGCGGACGTGAGTGCTTGTTTCATCTGCTCCACGGCTTCCTGATGCTTTGGTTCCCATTTATAGGGCGTGTTCTTCTTCAGCAGATTCGTGAGTGGTGCTGCGATTTTCGCATATTGTGGCACGAACCTGTTGTAGTAATTAGCGAAGCGTAGGAACTGCTGCAACTCCTTCACGTTCTCGGGTGTCTTCCACGTGCGTACGGCCTCGATTTTCTTGGGGTCGACGTGAACTCCTTGAGCGCTCACCATGTGCCCTAGGAACTGGACCTTTTCAAGGGCGAATTCGCTCTTGGACAGTTTGACGTAGAATCATTCCCGTCGAAGAATTTTGAAGACGCGTCGCAGGTGTTCAACGTGTTGCTTCATGTCGCGCGACTAGATGAGTATGTCGTCCAGGTACACCACCACGCATTCGTCCAAAAGTGGTCGTAGAATGTGGTTCATTTCGGCTTGGAACGTTGCCGGCGCGTTGGTGAGTCCGAACGGCATTACCAAATATTCGTACGATCCGTACCGAGTTCGAAAAGCAGTTTTGTGGATAGAGTTGTCCGCCATCCGTATCTGCCAGTATCCGGACCGCAGATCCAGTTTGGAAAATACCGTAGCTCCCCGAAGCTGGTCAAGCAGGTCATCGATTCGCGGTATCGGATATTTATTCTTGATGGTCTGCTTGTTAAGAGCTCGGTAGTCGATGCACATGCGCAGGCTTTCGTCCGGTTTCTGGATGAAGAGTACTGGGGCACCGTATGGCGAAGTGGATGGCCGGATGAGTCCTTTGGCTAGGAGATACTCGATCTGTTTTTTCATGTCCGTCAGCTCCGTAGGGCTGAGCCGGTATGGTGCTCGGAAGGTCGGCTTCGAACCCGGTTCCTCCACGATCTCGTGTTGATGCGTTTGGTATGGCGGTAGCTCGTTCGGAAGATCGTCAGGAAGAATGTCTTGGAACTCCTTCAGAAATTCCTTGATTTTTTCTGGAGTTTCCGAGGCTTTCTCTCCGTCATTCTCCACCTCTGTTGCTATCGCCAGGAACCCGGTGTCGGTCCGCTTCACGTCCTTCTCGAATTGTGCGAGTGTCTCTACTGGGATATCTCCAGTATCGTCCCAGTTGGGTAGCTCTACTCTCCGTCCATTGTTGTAGATGCTTGCGGTGCGGTTCACCCAGTTGATCTCGGGGTTGAATCTTTTCAGGAAGTCTCGCCCGAAGATCAGGTAAAGCCCTTTGATGTTGGTGATGGGGAGTGCAGGTCTCCAGCGCAGTGGTCCGATTTGTAGGTGTAGCACTGCTTCGCCGTATACTGGTAACTTGCTGCCGTCCACCATCGTTGCAGAGAATCCTGAAGGCTTGTACTCTCCCCGTAGTCGGTCGATTACTGCCTTGTTGTAGACGGTGTGTGACGCTCCGCTGTCCACGAGTGCTTTGAGGCGTCGTCCTTTGCAGATGACCTCGAGCACGAGGGGCAGTCGTTGCTCGGAGTACCCAAAGATAGTTTCATTGATTGGGTCATAGGGTACATCCCAATACTCCGTACACACCTTTGTGTTGCTATCTGCTCCTGAGCTGGCAGCTGGCCGAGGCTGCTTGGAGAACGGCTCTTCTCCAGGGCCCGGAGTTTCTTTGATGACTGTGCGCGTCACTGATGCCGAAGATCTGGATGCATCCGTAGGAGGAGTTCGGGGTTTGTGCAGCTTCTTGTAGACCCCCAGCTTCCTCTTGAGCTGCTTCAGCTCCACCGACGTCTTCCCTGGGGAACGGGTAGTCGTTGTGGGCTGGTGTCGGGAGAGAACGTTGACTCCGTGGAAAGGTCGGCTTCTTTCCACACTCCTTAATTTGGTCCCCAGGATTTCCGGTACCGGTATAATCTCCACAGCTGTCTGCTTCTTTTGGAGTCCCTCCCGAAATTTCTCCAAGGCTCTAGCCCCTCGAAATTCATAAGTTTTCATTAAAGCATCTTTATAAGATAACTTTAACGAATTCTTATAATTTCTTGGGTCTTCAAGGAGTTTCCCTGTCTCGTCAGAGTCTTTTTTCGCGGAGTCGTATTTTTCCTCGGCGATTTTCCCTGGCGAGGACTGGTCGTGGGGTGGAGATTTTCCCCCATCATTTCCTCCTTCTCGCGTCGAATCAGCTTCGTCGAAGTTGATTTTTCCGGAATCCCGTGGCCGTTTTCGGATCTTTTTATTTTCGCCAGCTAGATCCGCAATCACTGGCGACTCCCGTTTTTTTACTTCTGATTGGCTGAAGGAATTCCGCCACTGTTGCGTGCCCGATACTCTGCGCGTGCGGTCTTCATTTTGCTGCAGTCGAAGATTCGATGACCCGGCACCTTGCAAAAATCACACGTGTACTTGGTGTTTTTCGGACGTGGCCGCCCCTCGAATCTGTCGACTTCCATCGGGTCGGCGAACGTGGGGTGAGCCGAGCGGTCGCCCTGTCGCGTACTGCCGACATGCGTCCGTCGTGTTCCGGCGTTGACCATGTCGAAGCGCTCCGCTGCCAAAACGACGTCACTTTAGCTCGCGTAGTTTGACGCTGCAACTTGTCGTTTGACTTCGGTCTTCAGCCCGGCGAGGTACAATTGTACTTTTTCCCCTTCGGTCAGGTCGGGAATGCGGTTATAAAATTCCTCCATCTGCTGCGTGTACTGCACTACACTCCCGAACTGTCGGTGTCGATGAATTTTTTCCCGGGCAAGGAAACTGGAATTTATCGGCTCGAAGCGTTTCAGCAGGTCGGTGCGGAACTGCTGCCACGTGGCTTCACCGTGGATCAAAGTACTGTTGCCGCCAATCCATTCGAGTGCCGGCCCTCGCATCAGTGTCGCCGCGAGTCGTACACGTTGTCCGTCCCAGACTGGCGAGCTCCATCCGACGGCTGCGAAGTAGATCTCCATCCCGGCGATCCATCTACGGGCGTCGGAGTTTCGATCGCTCGGATCGAACGGCTCAGGTGGGCGCGGTTTCGGAGCCTCGAGAAACTGCTGCGACTGCTGCGTCGTCGCCGATGTCGTCTCGTGCTGCGCTCCGGCGAGTCGAGTTACTCGCTCGAACTGGTTTCGCCACGCTTCGCGATCCGCTCGCATTTCCTCCTGAAGGGCTGCGATGCGCGCGAAGAGCTGCTGGGTAACCTCGGCGTTGTCGAAGGTTGCCATCCTGTTCAAAACACGCACGGAGGGGGTAATTCAAAAATCGCGGAGCTGGTGCTTACCAGAATCGGCGTCGAATTGGTCGCCCCCGGCGGTTTTTCGAGGCAGGATCCCCGCTGCTGCTGCTTAGCTGAGCGCGGTCGAGTGAGAAAAGCTCTGATTACCAAGTGTCACAGGATCGAATGTGTCGAGGAAAGGTTGCACTATCGATCAGTACAGGGCGCTTTTATACTTCCAAAGTACATCAGGTAACCAGGTTTATCTTATCCTAAGGGAATAGACCCTTCTAGACGATAGAATCACCCTGCGTATAGCCACGCGAGGCTATTGGCTTTAAGGGATTACGGCAGGATTACGCCAGATAGCGCACCAGTACATCCCAAGCCTGGTCGGTGATATAATTATAATAGCAAGATAAACCAAAGGTTAATGGAAAATGGAGAATAGGAAACCAAATGAGATGAGATAAAGAGAAATGAACGAGGAAGGAAATAAGAAAAGGGACAAGTGGTGTAACGGGGTCGTACTCTCACAGAGGGCCTATTCTAGCGTGATACCATCTCAGAGTAATAAGTTAACCAGAATCGATGGTACAGGGTAGTTTTGTGCTAGTGTTATACTCTCTAAGAGCATTCACCTATCTAGCCTATAATAACATATGCATATATGTTTGACAGAAATTGCACTAATCAAACTGGGCCCAGTCTGCAAAGTTTATTTCCTCCGTAGATATTCCAACCTAGATTTTGCCTCACTTTGGCGAAGGAATAGTTGGGTCCTTTTTTTTTTTGGTAGTTCGTGAGCACAGTCAGCATCAAATTGGGCACAGTTTGACGCATGTCTGAGTAAGGGCGAATTCCTATGAAGTAGGATCAGAATCAATAATGTTCCTGATCCTGCCGTTTTGCTACGCGCAAATCAACAATCCTAGAAAGCGATCGTAAGTGTGTTTCGCGTTCGCGTGCGAACCTGGATGCCTCACACGACCCCTCGTGTACACCCCTTTCAACACAAAACCATAACTTCGACTACCCAGACTTGTACATGTAAGTTTACGGTATAGTAGCAAATTCATCGTGACGCCAACCAGAATGGGAAATGCGTGCTCCAATCACGAGCAAGGGAATTTCGAAGCCACCAGAAGCACAAAAATATTCGTTTTTGTGCCCGCCGCCAGGGCCCAAATTTCAAGGGTATATTACACTTATCAAATGCCGTTTTTTCAAGGTTTCCCTGATTTTGCAAAGCCATTCTATTCCTGATCCTTTCTCAAAAAGTGTAAGGGTGTTTTGTGTTTTACCCTTACCAGTCAGGGTACCCTTACCCGTCCAGGTGAGCCCGCCCACCGACCACTGAGGTCATTAAGACGGACCGCGCAATGTCTCGCGCGGTTTCCAAAACTTGTCACGCTGTGGCATCATTGCTGCCAGCAGCGTGCAGAAGCAGCGACAACGCATAGGATGCCCGACATTGGACCAATTGCAAACAACAGCGCAGCAGTGCATGGGACAGCATGGCTAGGACCGGGGCGCAAGGACAACCCACTCCTGCCGGTCCCTCCATCCTTGCGCCACGACTAGTCGAGGCAGACGTGCATGCTCGTCTCCCCCCTCCTTCTCATGCCCCTGAGCCACTATATCTCAAAGCAGTAGTTGTTCCACGGGGCAACCATTCTCTTCTGTGTTTGTTAGTAATGATTAGGAAGTCCTAGCTATGGCCGTTCCAGAGGACGAGGATGGCGATGACGGTTGTCAAGGCAGTTGTAACGGCCTGAGAATCCTAGGTGTCTTTCTTCTCCGCCCTCATCCAGTAGTTCCTCCATTGCCATCTCGGAAAAGCCCAAGTCCCCCTCGGCACTCTCCTCTCGCACCCTCTCAATCGCGTCCCTTACTCTCACCATCTCACTCAGGGTTGGAGCCCGCGTACTGCTCCGCATCTGAGGATGTCGCTGGGTCGTCCCACCCATCAGATGCGTCCCCCTCTGCCTTGCACCCTGAGCCTGCCAAGCGCAAGCGAGGCTCGTACGTCCAGCAATGGCTATGGGGTGCTCCACCACCCCGTCGCGCACCGAGCCCCCCGACAACACGCGCGGCTCGCGGTGGCAAAGTCCCACCTCCCGTCGCCCCCACCAGTGCCGCCGAGGCCGAGTATGCCGTCATGCAGCACCGCTTCGAGAGTGACTGGTCGAAGCGGCTTCCGTGGCTTCGCCTTCAGCGCATGAAGAATGGACGCCCCGCGCTGAAGTGTGCCATATGCATCAAGCACGCCGACCCTACAACGAATACGAACTACGGCATCAAGGGGGAGGATGGTCGAGACCTTCAGCTCGGGAGCATACGGCGTCACCTCGGGACGCGTGCGCACAAGGCGACGATTCGAGCCGAGGAGCCGGCCGAGACCGAACGCGCACGATAGGCGAACATCACCCGCTGGCAGCGCACGGATTCCTCCACCTGTCACTTGATTCGTTGCCTGCACATCGCGCTATTCATCTACCGAGCCGATGCTCCGATCGCTATGTTTGTCCCTCTCTGCTGGTTTCTGGCTCGAGAGGGACTTCCTGATTTGCCACCGGGTGGTGGGTATGGCTCGTACTACACGGAGTAAGTGCACCTTGTTACCCGTCCGGATGTTTCCAATGCATTATGGTTAATCACTTGAATCGTATTAGGGAATCACGTTCTTTTGTTTAGCTGCATGTACCACTCTACCTTTCCTTATTACTAATTGGTCTTTTTGACCGTCTGTTGTCTGTGTTCTCCATCGACGAGTCTACAGACCGCATCCACGGGAAACACCTGATCCTCTACGCGACTTTCTTCAGAGGAACGCGAGTCGTGACGGAATTTGTCGAGCGCACAGACGCGGCTGCACTCACCACGACGCTCGTCCAGTACCGGCACAGTGTCGGCATCGACATGCAGAAAATCGTCGGCATCTCAACAGACGGCGCTTCGGTCATAACGGGCGAGCACAAAGGCGTGGTGGCGCGTCTCCGTGCGCAGATCGAACACCTGGTGTCGACCCACTGTATTGCCCATCGGTAGGAGTTCCAAGTGTGCCTTGCGGCTCGGTATTAGTGTCCGTTATATTGCTAACTTTGCATGCACCAACCCTGTTATCTATGGAGCCGCACTTCATACTCCTCTCCTTGCTTATTGCCCCTATGCTCTAGGGAGGCGCTCGCGGCAAAGGATGCAGCAGCAGCAGTCCCTGAGCTCGAGATGATCGACCTCGTCATCCACGCCCTGGCGGACATTCTCGGGAGGAGCCATGTCTGGCACTCGCGCTTCATGAACATTCAACTCATCTTCTGCCTGATGTCACTCGAGCATCGGGGCCTCCACCTCATGCGCTGGCAGGCACGGGATGAGGCGGTGCAGCGGCTATGCGAGATCCAGCCAGCTACCATCATCTTCCTCCGCGAGCATGGGAGTGAACTGTACGAGGTGGTAACCTCGTTCAAGTTCAACTTCCTTGTCCGCTTCCTGGCGGACATCTTGAGAGAGCTGAACCACTTGAACCTCCGCTTCCAGCAACGTCAGGTGAGCATGCTCTACTACCGCACTTTGCTGTTTGGTGGCATTTACGAGTATGCGCCCTTGCTTGTGTTTATCCTGATGCACTCAGGCTGCTGATCACTTCGTGTGCCTCCTCCCTTATATTGTGGTAGGTTGATGTCACTCTCGTCGCGCACCTTGTGGAGCAGACCAAGATGCTGATCACGGCCCGCTATCTCACGGCCCGCTATCTCTCCAGTGGTCCGGGGCACGTGTTTGGGCATGGCGAGAAGATGCTGCTGCCCAAGTTCATCGCATCGCACGCGTCCATTGATAAGAGAGAGAGATGCGGGCAGAGGGCGTGGACAGCGATGGCAACCTCGTGTCGAGCACCTTCACCCTGCATGAGCACCCCCTGCCCGGCCAAGACTCGGAGGGGGATGTGATGGGTTGCTTCGAGCTGTGCGTACGCTATGCCCGCGCGGTCAACGCCCACCTCGACTGCCGGCTGCTGGATCTGCGCAACCTGGAAGGGACGAAGTTATTCCTAGACTCAACCTACCTCGACAACGACATTCTCCGCGTAGCTGCCTTCAAGTGGTGGCTGAAGCAGCTCTCTCCGCGTAACGCGGTCGTACTCTCACACTTCCCCCTCCCTCAAAGCTGGGTGGTAGAAGTAACACTCTGCTTGTTAAGGTAGTCATGCAGAGGACGACGGGCGTTACCCATGTCGGACTCAGGGACCCAGCTGTCCTCAGAAGGATCATAACCCTTCCAACGGATGAGAAGCTCCACGGTGCCATTCCGACGACGGCGGTGTGCGAGCACGGACTCGACCTCGTACTCGGGTTCATTCTGGACGAGGACGGCCGGTGGTGGCGGCGGTTGGCGTCCGACGAAAAGCGTGTTCGGGTCCCGATAGGGCTTCAGAAGTTGGACGTGGAAGGCGTTGTGAATCTTCCAGGTAGCTGGCAGGCGTAAGCGGAAGGTAACAGGAGTGACCTGTGCTTCAACGAGAAAAGGCCCGCAGAAGCGAGGTCGAAGTTTAGATGGGAGATGGCTGATGTCCAGGTTGCGGGTGTCAAGAAGCACCTGGTCTCCCACCATGATGGTGTGATCGTTGCGATGGCGATCGGCTTGGCGCTTCTGTTGCTGTTGAATGTCGAGTAGGCGCTTGTGGGTCCGATCCCAAAGCTGATGCATGGTTGTGATGAAATCATGTGCTGGTTGGACTGTAGCTGATGCTGTCGGTTTTTGTGGTGTGAGTAGGTGGCGTCCGTAGCAGAGGAAGAACGGCGTCTGTCCAGTAGCGGCATGTATAGCATTGTTGTAAGCAAACTCTAGTACGTGCAGGTGCAAGTCCCATTTGGAGATCTCGTCCTTGCAGGCTGCTCGGAGGAGTTGCTCAACAATTTGGTTGAGGCGCTCGGTCTGTCCGTCTCTCTGCGGATGGTAAGCAGATGACATGGCGAGTTTGGTCCCGAGGAGAGACATAAGTTCCTTCCAGAACTTGCTGGTGAACTTAGGGTCTCGGTTGGAGATGAGTGTGGTTGGAATGCCATGCTGTGAGATGATGTATCGAACGAAGAGTTGTGCTGTTTCTTCGGTGCGTGCTGTCGTGTGTGTCGGGATGAAGTGTCCCATTTTGGAGAACTTGTCAATGACGACAAGGATGGCGTCATGACCGCTGGAGGTAGGTGGTAACCCGGTGATGAAGTCCAGGCTAACCACTTGCCATGGTTGTTCTGGGACAGGAAGAGGCTGCAGTAGTCCCGCCTTTTTCTGCTTGCTGCTCTTCATCCGCTGACATGTATCACACGAGGTGACGAATTTCTGGACATCTTCTGCTAAGTGGGGCTAGTAGTAGTGCTTTGCGATACCAGTGAGCGTCTTGTTGCTACCGAAGTGTCCGGCGTAGAGGACGTCGTGGTATTCTTCGAGTAGTAACTGGCGCAAAGGAGGGTAATTGGGTACCCAGATTTTCGTTGATCCTTTCCGGTACGCGATGTCACTGTTCCACCGTAGCAGGTGTCGCTTTTCTGCCAAGGGAATTTCGGGGTCGGTGGCGTACCCGTGTGTGAAGAGTCCCTTGAGTAGTGGATTCATCCCTTCGACCTGAATAGCGGCAACGTGTGCAGGCCGGCTGAGAGCGTCTACTTTGTTCTTGTGACCGGGCTTGTACACGATGTCATAGTGGAAGTGTGTCTCGAGGAAGTCGATCCACCGGACCTGCTGCCTGGAAAGGTTGGGTTGTGTCTTCAAATATTTCAGGCTGCAGTGGTCGGTGTAGACGATTGTTCTTCGTCCTTCGAGATAACATCTCCACGCTTTGAAGGCGATGACGATGGCAAGGGCCTCTTTGTCGTGTATCGGGTAGTTAAGTTCTGCCCCGTGTAGTTTCTTACTTAGGTAAGCGATTGGTTGCAGTCCATTCCCTTGATCTTGCATCAAGACTGCTCCCACTGCTTGGTCACTGGCGTCAGCTTCGATGACGTAGTCGCGTTCGGGATTTGGCAAGATGAGTACCGGTGCGGACGTAAGTGCTTGCTTCAGCTGCTCCACGGCTTCCTGGTGCTTCGGCTCCCATTTGTAGGGCGTGTTCTTCTTCAGCTGATTCGTGAGTGGTGCTGCGATTTTCGCATACTGTGGCACGAACCTGTTGTAGAAATTAGCGAAGCCTAGGAGCTGCAGCAACTCCTTCACGTTCTCGGGTGTCTTCCACGTGCGTACGGCCTCGATTTTTTTGGGGTCGACGTGAACTCCTTGAGCGCTCACCATGTGCCCTAGGAACTGGACCTTTTCAAGGGCGAATTCGCTCTTGGACAGTTTGATGTAGAATCGTTCTCGTCGAAGAATTTCGAGGACGAGTCGCAGGTGTTCGACATGATGCTTCATGTCGCGCGAGTAGATGAGTATGTCGTCCAGGTACACCACCACGCATTCGTCCAAAAGTGATCGTAGAATGTGGTTCATTTCGGCTTGGAACGTTGCCGGTGCGTTGGTGAGTCCGAATGGCATTACCAAATACTCGTACGATCCATACCGAGTTCGGAAAGCAGTTTTGTGGATAGAGTTGTCCGCCATGCGTATCTGCCAGTATCCGGACCGCAGATCCAGTTTGGAAAATACCGTAGCTCCCCGAAGCTGGTCAAGCAGGTCATCGATTCGCGATATCGGATATTTAGTCTTGATGAACTGCTTGTTAAGAGCTCGGTAGTCAATGCACATGCGCAGGCTTCCGTCCGGTTTCGGTGTGAAGAGTACTGGGGCACCGTACGGCGAAGTGGATGGTCGGATGAGTCCTTTGGCTAGGAGATACTCGATTTGTTTTTTCATGTCGGTCAGCTCCGTAGAGCTGAGCTGATATGGTGCTCGGAAGGTCGGCTTCGAACCCGGTTCCTCCACGATCTCGTGTTGATGCGTTCGGTATGGCGGTAGCTCATTCGGAAGATCGTCCGGAAGAATATCTTGGAACTCCTTCAATAATTCCTTGATCTTTCCTGGAGGTTCCGAGGTTCTCTCCCTGTCGTTCTCCGCCTCTGTTGCTATTGCCAGGAACCCTGTGTCGGTTCGCTTCACGTCCTTCTCGAATCGTGCGAGTGTCTCCACTGGGATATCTCCAGTATCGTCCCAGTTGGGTAGCTCTACTCTCCGTCCATTGTTGTAGATGCTTGCGGTGCGATTCACCCAGTTGATCTCGAGGTTGAATCTTTTTAGGAAGTCTCGCCCGAAGATCAGGTCAAGCCCTTCGATGTTGGTGATGGGGAGTGCAGGTCTCCAGCGCAGTGGTCCAATTTGTAGGTGTAGCACTGCTTCGCCGTGTACTGGTAACCTGCTGCCGTCCACCATCGTTGCAGAGAATCCTGAAGGCTTGTACTCTTCCCGAAGTCGGTCGATTATTGCCTTGTCGCAGACGGTGTGTGATGCTCCGCTGTCCACGAGTGCTTGGAGGCGTCGTCCTTTGCAGATGACCTCGAGCACGAGGGGCAGTTGTTTCTCGGAGTACCCAAAGATAGTTTCATTGATTGGGTCATAGGGTACATCCCAATATTCCGTACACACCTTTGTGTTGCTATCTGCTCCTGAGCTGGCAGCTGGCCGAGGCTGCTTGGAGAACGGCTCTTCTCCAGGGCCCGGGGTTTCCTTGACGACTGTGCGTGTCATTGATGCCGAAGAACTGGATGCATCCGGAGGAGGTTTTTGGGGTTTGTGCAGCTTCTTATAGACCCCCAGCTTCCTCTTGAGCTGCTTCAGCTCCACCGACGTCTTCCCTGGGGAACGGGTAGTCGTTGTGGGCTGGTGTCGGGAGAGGACGTTGACTCCGTGGAAAGGTCGGCTTCTTTCCACACTCCTTAATTTTTCCCCCAAGTTGTCCGGTACCGGTATAATCTCCATAGCTATCTGCTTCTTTTAGAGTCCTTCCCGAATTTTCTCCAAGGCTCTAGCCCCTCGAACATCATAAGTTTTCATTAAAGCATCTTTATAAGATAACTTTAACGAATTCTTATAATTTCTTGGGTCTTCAAGGAGTTTCCCTATCTCGGCAGAGTCTTTTTTCGCGGAGTCGTATTTTTCCTCGGCGATTTTCCCTGGCGAAGACTGGTCGTGGGGTGGAGATTTCCTCCCATCATTTCCTCCTTCTCGCGTCGAATCAGCTTCGTCGAAGTTGATTTTCCCGGAATCCCGTGGCCGTTTTCGGATCTTTTTATTTTCGCCAGCTAGATCCGCAATCACTGGCGACTCCCGTTTTTTTACTTCTGATTGGCTGAAGGAATTCCGCCACTGTTGCGTGCCCGATACTCTGCGCGTGCGGCTTTCATTTTGCTGCAGTCGAAGATTCGATGACCCGGCACCCCGCAAAAATCACACGTGTAATTGGTGTTTTTCGGACATGGCCGCCCCTCGAATCTGTCGACTTCCATCGGGTCGGCGAACGTGGGGTGAGCCGAGCGGTCGCCCTGTCGCGTACTGCCGACGTGCGTCCGTCGTGTTCCGGCGTTGACCATGTCGAAGCGCTCCGCTGCCAAAACGACGTCACTGTAGCTCGCGTAGTTTGACGCTGCGACTTGTCGTTTGACTTCGGTCTTCAGCCCGGCGAGGTACGATTGTACTTTTTCCTCTTCGGTCAGGTCGAGAATGCGGTTATAAAATTCCTCCATCTGCTGCGTGTACTGCACTACACTCCCGAACTGTCGGTGTCGATGAATTTTTTCCCGGGCAAAGTAACTGGAATTTATCGGCTCGAAGCGTTTCAGCAGGTCAGCGCGAAACTCCTGCCACGTGGCTTCACCGTGGATGAAGGTACTGTTGCCGCCAATCCACTCGAGTGCCGGCCCTCGCATCAGTGTCGCCGCGAGTCGTACACGTTGACTGTCCCAGACTGGCGAGCTCCATCCGACGGCTGCGAAGTAGATCTCCATCCCGGCGATCCATCTGCGGGCGTCGGAGTTTCGATCGCTCGAATCGAATGGCTCAGGTGGGCGCGGATTCGGAGCCTCGAGAAACTACTGCGACTGCTGCGTCGTCGCCGTTGTCGTCTCGTGCTGCGCTCCGGCGAGTCGAGTTACTCGCTCGAACTCGTTTCGCCACGCTTCGCGATCCGCTCGCATTTCCTCCTAAAGGGCTGCGATGCGCGCGAAGAGCTGCTGGGTAACCTCGGTGTTGTCGAAGGTTGCCATCCTGTTCAAAACATGCACGAAGGGGGTAATTCGAAAATCGAGGAACTGGTGCTTACCAGAATCGGCGTCGAATTGGTCACCTCCGGCGGTTTTTCGAGGCAGGTTTTCCCGCTGCTGCTGCTTTGTTGAGCGCGGCCGAGTGAGAAAAGCTCTGATTACCAAGTGTCACAGGATCGAGTGTGTCGAGGAAAGATTGCACTATCAATCAGTACAAGGCGCTTTTATACTTCCAGAGTACATCAGGTAACCATGTTTATCTTATCCTAGGGGAATAGACCCTTCTAGAAGATAGAATCACCCTGCGTATAGCCACGCGAGGCTATTGGCTTTAAGGGATTACAGCAGGATTACGCTAGATAGAGCTCACCAGTACATCCCAAGCCTGGTCAGTGATATAATTATAATAGCAGGATAAACCAAAGGTTAATGGAAAAGGTAAGAATAGGAAACCAAATGAGATGGAATAAAAGAGAAATGAAAAAGGAAGGAAATAAGAAAAGGCCAAGTGGTGTAACGGGGTCGTACTCTCACACCGGGACTAGCACGCACTCCAACGCCAGCACCCCCAGAGTCAACGAACGGGTGCTGCGACGGCGGCGGCGGCGGCAACGACAACGACGGCGGCGGCGGCGGCGGAGGTGACAACGGCTGCAACAGCAGGGGCGACAGCAGCGGCAGAGGCGGTGGAGGAGGGGACGCCTTGGGAGGGGCAGCCGGCGAGGACTGCGCCGCAGGACCACCAGAGTCAGAAGACTCCTCAACTGGGACCACCGACGGAAGAGGTGTGACATGGGACACACCAGAGGGGGCAGGACGGGGAGGAGGAGGGGGAGGTGCAGGGACTACCGAGGAAGGAGTGACCAGGAACAGGGAGGGGGTAACCGGTGGACCGCGGTGGGGGAAGCGACGGTAGTAGGGGACGGACTCGTCAAAGGTGACGTTGCGAGAGTGAAAGAAGCGGTGAGACGGCGGGTGGTAGAAGTGCCAGTCGGACGCGTCAAGGGGAAAACCGAGGAAGACGTAGGGAAGGGTGCGGGCAATGAGCTTGTCCGTGCCGGAGGCACGAACGTGGGCAAGGCAGCCCCAGACGTGGAATGCAGACGCGTCACCAGGAGACCCAGTCCAAAGACGGGTCGGCGAAACGTGCGGCTGCTGGGGGTGCGGCCACAGGTTAAGCTGGTGAGAAGCGTAGCGCACAGCGAACGGCCACAGAAAATGGGGTGCACCGGCATGGATCATGGAGGTGCGAGCCACCTCCATGACCAAACCGATGCGTCGCTCAGCGACCCTATTCTGGTGTGGGGAGTCCGGTAGGGTGAACGTCTGGGTGATGCCCTCCGCACGACAAAAGCGACCCAGTACACCTGAGGCAAACTCGCCACCACGGTCAGAGTGAAGGCGCAAGACAGGGAGACCTCGGTGGACACGGGCAGAGACAAGCCAGGGGATGAGAGCGGCAGGCACGTCGGCCTTCCGCTCCAAGGGAAAGACCGAGGTGTAGCGAACGAAGTCGTCCACAAGCACAAGGAAGTAGCGCTCTCGACGCGGCCCATGGACGGGGGCGGGGCCCCAGACGTCCATGTGCAAGGTCTGCAGCGGCGCGGCGGTAGGGGGAAACGAAGAGGAGTGAGGGGCACGGCGAAGCTGACCCTCGACGCAAGGCATGCAAGGTGGGGCTGGGGAGGAGGGAAAAGCGGGGAGAGAACCAGGGAGACCAAAGACGAGACCGTGCTGGGACATGTGATCCAGACGCGGGAGCGCAGGGTGACCTAGGCGGTGGTGCCAAAGGAGAGTCGGGTGAGTGAGGGACCGACAGGAGCATGCAGCAGCAACCTGGGTAGACGCAGCCACCTGAGGGGGCGCCCCAGCCGGGGAGGTTACGGTGTCCAGAGTGAACAGGCCGGACACCGGGTCCCGGGGGAACGTGGACAGGGGGGCACCAGTGGCGGCCTCGGTACAGACAGCATACCGCTCGTTACCAGGGAACGTAGTGGTGACGCCAAGGTCCTGGAGGCAGCCGACACCAACTAGGTTCCTGGAGAACGAGGGGATATGCAGACCTGTAAGAGAGCCCGAAGGAACCGCCGGACAGGGAAGGGTGGTGGAACTGCGGGCGACTACCGGACCGCTGGAGGGGTCAGCATGAGAAACGGCAGCAGGAACAGGATGCGGCGTCAGTGTAGTAGAGTCGCGGAAGAAGCCCCGGGAAGCGCCAGAGTCCAAGGTGAAGGAAAGCGAAGCAGTGGCGTCCGGCGACGGGGCGACGGCGGAAGCACCAAGGCTAAACAAAGCAGGGGATCCTACGCGTGACGCAGCAGGGGAGGCTAAGCTAGGCACACCTACACTAGACGACAGTGAGTAATAAGCGGGAAGCGCACTAGAGTCATCATCATAAATCATGTGCAGAGCAGAAACAATTGCATCCATCTCCATGTCAAAAATCTGAATCCTACGACTAAGCAAACTGTGCCAGTCCGGAAGGTCTGGCGACGGGCCGAAGCGCTGACGAAACAGGTCGTCCAGGCGACGAAAACAGCGGGGAGTGGTATGACCGAGCTTACCGCAAACGAAGCCGCGGCGAGGACTGGTCAGGATCTAGTACTGACAACGCACGCCTCCCGAACCACCACTCGGCACACAACCACGCACCCGACCACCTCCAGCGCCTGGCCACCCGGGCGGGAGGACACTCGCCTACCTCGTCTGCGGCGGCTGCTGCGGAAGCTGCGGCTGCTGCGACAGCTGCGACTGCAGCGGCTGCTGCTGCTGCTGCTGCGACTGCGGAGGCGGCGGCTCTGCTAGACTGGGCAGGGTCCCCTCGTCCGCTCCAGCACCAGACAACCCGGCTCCACCACCACCCCCTCCTGCACCCCCGCCTCCTCCGCCGCGCCCAGCCTTGGGGCGGCGGCCCTTCCCCGAACGAAACTGCGCTGCAGCAGCAGTCTCAGCCACAGCGACAGAACCGTCGGAGAAGGTACACTGAGAGGGGGCACAACCCTGAAAGATAGGGACCGGCACGGTACCGCTCGCCTGGGCGATGGAGCGGTGGCGGGTCTCGATAACAGTCAGGGTGTCTACAAAGCCGGTGAGGGTGAGCTGACCGGGGTGAATGCTAAGGAAGCGGTCGCGGGCGGCGGCAAGGCGGTCAGGCAGGCGGATGGCAAGCAGGTAGAGGGTAGAGGTAATGGGCGGCTGGTGGGCTCTAAGCTGTGCGTCAGTGCAGGCAGCGCGCCAGGTCTCATCTATCGAGCGCAAGTGGGCAGCTAGGTCAGAGACAGTGGGGAAAGACGCAACGTCGGGAAAGAGCATCGAGAGGATCAGGCGACCCACCGAGGCAGCAGGAGGGGTGGAATAGCGCTTGATGACAGCATCTAAGTAACCCTGGGCGGTAGTGATGGACCTAAAGCGAGGGCGCTCGGACGGGGGAAGGGCATTGCTAATGGCAAGCTGAGCGACAGCGTCTCGGGAAAGCCAGACAGAGCGCGCAAGGGCAGTGGCTGCAGTAGACTCGCGCTCAGCGGGTGTGGGGTCAGCAGGCAGAACAGCAGGGGGGTCTGGGCAGGGGAGCGTACCGTCAAGGTGTGTGGAAAGCAGGTGGCCATCCTGCCGATGGCCAGTGAGGTGGCGACGGAGGTCAGCGAGCCACGCGTCGAACTCCAGAGGCTGGCCTTCAACGTCGAAGCGAAGCTCCGCTGCCATCAGGAGCAATGCAGGACTGTACAGTGCGGTGCAGTGCAATGCAGCGCGGTGCAGGCCGGTGCAATGTGGTGCAGGGCGGTACCGTGCAGTGCGGTGCGGTGCGATGCAGTGCGGTGCAGGGATGGGGAACCGTACTAGTGAGGATGCAGGGCCAGGGCAGGGACGACGAGCGGGCCGCACACAACTCGGGGCAGGACGGGCGCGGGGGGCAGAAGCAGCGGTCACCATGTCGACGGGACGGGCGCGGGGCCGGCTGGGACGGGCGCAGGGGCCGAGCAGACGGGCGCGGAGGTCACAAGGGCGGGCGCGGGGCCGGTTGGGACGGGCGCAAGGCAGGAGCGGCGGGGCCAGGCAGGCGCGGCGGGGCCAGGCAGGCGCGACGGGGCCAGGCAGGCGCGGCGGGGCCAGGAAGGCGCGACGGGGCCAGGCAGGCGCGGCGGGGCCAGGCAGGCGCGGCGGGGCCAGGCAGGCGCGACGGGGCTGGGCAGGGCGCGACGGGGCTGGGCAGGGCGCGACGGGGCCAGGCAGGCACGGCGAGGCCAGGCAGGCGCGGAGGGGCCAGGCAGACGCGACGGGGCCAGGCAGGGCGCGACGGGGCTAGGCAGGGCGTGACGAGGCCAGGCGGGCGCGACGGGGCCAGGCAGGGCGCGACGGGGCCGAGCGGGCGCGACGGGGCCAGGCAGGGCGCGACGGGGCTAAAAGGCGTGACGGGACCCAGGAGGGGCGCGTCGGGGCCAGGGGGGCGCGACGGGGCCCAGGAGGGACGCGACTGGGCTAGGGGGTCGCGACGGGGCCAGGGGGGGCGCGACGGGGCGCAGGAGGGGCGCGACGGGGCTAGGGGGTCGCGAGGGGGCCAGGGGGGCGCGACGGGGCCCAGGAGGGGCGCGACGGGGCTAGGGGGGCGCGACGGGGCCAGGAGGCGCGGCAGGGCCCAGGAGGGGCGCGACAGGGCTAGAAGGCGCGACGGGGCCCAGGGGGAAGCGGCGGGGCCTAGCTAGGGTACGGGCGGAAGCGGTAGGTGGGGGATCCTAACCTACGCGTGATACCATATTAAAGTGAGAAAATGAATATTGAGTAGAGAGAGAGTATAGGTGAATATACCTAAGCGTTGTACCCTCTAAGACGTGGCCCTATATAGTCTATGCAAACATAGGAGATACACATGTTTGACACCTTGACCTTGTACTGTCCTTTATACATATATTTTACCTTAATTGGCCTTGTGGCCTCTCCCAGTGGCTGGACTAGTAGTGCCGCACTGGTCTTGCTCTTGTCTTGTCTGTACTCTTTTGACTGGTCTAGTAGGCTGCAGAGGCTGGACTAGTAGTGCCGCCCTGAGCTGCTTCTTTCCCTATATAGTCTAGGGGGTGTGTCAATTATAACTTAGATCATTACTGTAGACTATACTGGATTGTGCCTTAGAGGGTACAACACCCTACCTAGTCTATATACCCTTTTACTCACATTCTAGTTTACTTATTCATTCTGATGACGATGATGACTTTTATCAGCATCAACAGCAGCATCCCGCAGAGAAAGTATGGAGCCAAGTACAAATGTCTGCATAACAGAATAAGAGGCGGTAGCTTTAATACGCGACGACAACAAGCCAGGAGATATGCGGACAAGACAAAGTAAGCCCCCGAGGACATTCTTCAACTGCACCTTGCTCGCCCTGGCAAAATCCATTTGGTCACTCGAATGCCCACTGGTTCTCGCGACGAACTTCTTCCTCTTCTTCTGGAGTAAAGTCGTTCTTTATGTTGAAAGTCCTGCGGATTTCCTCTGGCGACTTTCCGCGAATCATGTCAGCAACAGTCTGGCATGTGAGCTCCAGCAGATCTTTAATGTGCAAATAATTCGCAGCCTGGGTAAACGATTGGGAACCACGAAGAAAGGCAATACGTCACGCAGAACCAAGGGCTGAAGCTGAGATACGACGATGAAAGATGCGTCTACACCGGATGAAAGCCATGCATACGCACCAATATAAGATCGAACAAAGTAGCTTGATCGACTTTCACGAACTCTTGATCCCACGCCTTCACCTCGTCGTCCGTAACGGCAGGCTTCTCCATGGTGCCGGGCTTCTTCGCATCCACGTGATACTTACAGTACTCAATCACCTTTGCCAGGATTCGCCCAGAGACGTTTGGCAAAGGGATGGGCTCGCTGGCAGAAGATACATCAACATCTTCGATCATGTTTTTCACGGTGTCGCTCTGGAGAGCTACCTCTTGGTCTACTTCGAAGATTTCATTGTCTGAGCTCTTCAGCTTCAACTTAGAGTCTGCCATGATCCTTGTTAGTGTGACCTGCAGGAAGAATGGCCCAATACTGTTAAAAACAGAATAGAACCTCCTTAGCCGAGCACGAGCACTAGTTAGATGTCTCACCAGCGTAAAGCGCAAGGAACAGCAAGGCTAGGGATCGAGCAGGAGGTCGAACTGAAGTCAGACTTTCAACACTACCCTTCTTGTCCGTTGGAACCACAATTCAAGCGCAAGCCATGTGACAGTCCGTCCGAAGGCTACAACGACAACATCGTCGGGATTATCTGTTTGACACGACCATAGCTATAACATTTGGCACATAACTACCTATATAGCTAAATGCACCCTTATCATTTTCAGCACATGTTCTCTTGTGAATTAGTCCCCAACCAATTGACCTGAACATGCTCTCTTTGGGGTTCCTACTCAGATTTTGATCCCAATGCATTGGCTTTGAGGTACTCTTTAGTGCGAATCAAAATGGAGTAAGTTGAGATTTGGTGCACTACTACATGCATGTTGCATCCAATGATGGAGCATCTTCTTTAACTAGCTAAATCCGTGCACGAAAGCTGTGATTTACTCCAGAGATTAATTGCCATGCGTCATCAATTTCTGGAATTGTCACATCGACGGTGCCAAGAAGCACAGTCCTGCTATGGAATAGAGGGGCAGACATACACATAGCATGGCATGTGATATCCAGTAAATATCTGGAAATGAAGCAGCACCAGATAAGTGAAAAATGATGAGATCGAGGCAGGATGCACTCAGCTGACAAGGGAGATGCTCCACCTGTGTTTGGCGAGAAATGCCTGGAGCATTTGCTGAAGGCCCCAGCGCAGGGCGGAGCGTAGAGTGGCAGCGTTGTGAGGGTCAGGCACCACCCAGGTTTGCTGCATGGCCAGCACATCTCCCAGCACGCTGCAAAACTCCATCAGTCTGCCATACCAAGGAAATCATGCACATTAGAGCAGCTGCAACGGTACTAAAAATGGCAGTGCGGGGAAAGAGGGAAGAAGAGAAGAGGTGCTCACCGCCGGATGGCATCTGGCTTCCGAAGTCTGTCTTTGGTGACCAGGCAGTGGAACTGGCAGAGGGGCGCAAGGAGAACAGAAGAAGCAGATTCGGGGGGGATAGAAGGGACAGAGTGTCCATGCATATGCGCTCTGGGATGATCCAAGAGATCCTGGACGGGCCACAGGTTCTGTCTTGAGGGTTGTGGGTGTGCGCTTACCCACAAATCAACACACCCTTTTCACCCAGTAGTAGAGTGAATCTTAACAAAGACACACAAATTAGTAACCATCGCTAACCATGAGAGCCCCACCCTGTCATTCAACAGAGTGCAGTAGGCCGGGGTCGTACCCTGGCAAATGAGAGTTCCAGGAAGCGGTCGCGGTGCCTCTCCTCGTGCTTTGCGTGTGCGCCCACCTCCGCCAGCCCCAGCAGCTTGCCCAAGCTGGACCTGCACATGCAAAGGGAGATCCATGCACACATGCACACAGGTTTGAAAGGCTCCCCAACACCTACGTGTCGCATCAGTCTTTCTCACCAAGCCCTCTCCCCCCTCCTCTCTTCCCTCCCCTCTAGAACTCTTTCTCTGATGTGCTCTACTCTTATTCCTACCCACTCTCTCCCCGCTCCTTGCGGCTGACCTGGCGAGGCGGGTGGCGATGTGGTGGAGGTTGTTCATGAGGAAGAGCTCGCTCAGTGCCAGGTCGCCGCGGCTCCCCACAGCGTGCGCCTCCAGCGCGCCCACCAGCCCGCGGATGCTCCCGGCGATCACCATCGCCATGCGCGAATGCACCCGCCTCCCCGCACCTCCGGTCCCCCCTGCCCCGGCCTGCCCTGGCAGCGGCAGCGAAGAGGCGGCGCTCCAGCAGCTGCTGGCAGGGCTGCTGCACACTGACAGGGGGGTGGGTGGCTGCTGGTCGCGCGAGGAGGAGAGAGGGAGGTGAGGCGAGGCGGAGGGGGAGCAGGCGTGGGAAGGTGCGGAAGGGGAGGTGGGATGGGTGTCCAGGACTTCCTCCAACAGCCGGCGGTACGGCAGGTCGCTGCACGGCACAGGGGGGGCGGGGTGGTGGCAAATGAGGCATTGGTGCGAGACAGGCCACGGGGTATACGAATGTGAGGCGAGGTGGGAGGATGCACGGTGAATGGGTGTATGGTGAGTGAATAAGGGAGGTGAAGGTGGGGTGTGAGCAGAGCACGTCGTACTGGGAGCAGAGGAGGTGGAAGGTGTCGATGAGGCGCAGCGTGACGGGGTCCACGGCGCCACTGATGGCCTGGAAGCATGCCGTCACCGACACGCGCGCCCCCTCACCAGATGCAGGCGAGTGGGGTGCTGGCTGTGGCGGCCGCACCGACAGAAAGCTGCAGAGTGGAAGGGCAGGTGGAAAGTCATTCGAGGGAGGTTAAGGGAGGAGCTGTAGTCAGAGAAAGGGAAAGGGCGAGGTCGGCTGTTGGGATAGGAACAGGATTGTTTTGGAAGGTGCCGTCCTCTCGCCACTCAATGGAAGCAGTGCTCTGCGAAAGTGCAAGGGCACATGTAACTGCAAGGCGAGTAGGGGCTGTGTGTTGCAGTCAGTCACCAATTGCAGAGCAGACATGGGGTGGTGCTGACAGGGAGCGTGAGGTGCATACCGTAGCAGGAGGCTGCGTGCCTTGCGCTGCTGCACGCCCGTGCCTGCTGCCACGGCAGTGCCACCCGCTGCTGGCACCGTGTCCGCTGTGCCATCTCCACTCACAGCGCCACCCTCCCCTTCCTTCGCCTCCTCCTTCTCTGCGTCCGCTGCAACCGCCTGCTGAAAGTCACCATCGCCTGCATCCCCTTCTGACAATACACTTATCACCGCACCCCCCTCCTTCTCCTCGCCCCTCTCACTCCTCGTCTGCTTGCCTTCCTCCTCCTCTCCCTGCCCCTGTCCCTGTCCCTGCCCCTGCCCCTGTCCCTGCCCCTGTCCCTGCCCCCCCAGCAGCAGCGCGAGGTGGTGGGCGTGGGACCAGGCGGTTTCGGTGGCGAGGAAGGCGCTCCTCGCCACGCCCGCCACTGCCGCCAGCACGTCCAGGTACTGCCGCCGCTGCCTCTGCGTGCGCCGCGGGTACAGCTCCGCCACCTGCAAGACAGGGGGAGGGACGCAGGGGCAGCAGGAGGAGTGGGGTGAGGGGGAGCAGGGCAGGTAGGGAGCACGCGGACACACACGAGTTGAGCTCTCGGCAGGCCTTGCGTGTGGTACTGCGGGTACGAATTGTGGGTGGCCTCAGACGGCACCTGCACCGTCTCTGCGGAGCCTGTGGATGGAGCCCTCCTTCTTTGCGAGCTCCCACCCGCACCTCGTCTGGCCCCCTCTCCCCCCTCCCCAGTACCTGCGGGTAGCCGTCCCTGAGCGCGTCGAACGTGGAGAGCGCGTGCAGGAGGGCGGGCAGCGAGGGCGGCTGCGCGGCGAGCAGGCGCGGCAGGGCGAGCAGCACGGCGAAGGAGGGCGCGAGGAGGTCCTCCAGGCACTCCTGCCGCAGGTGCCCCATGCCGCCCAGCACCGCCTCGCTCACCCGCTGCTCCGCCGCGAACAGCGCCAGCTGGGGGGTGGGGGAAAGGGGGGAAGAGGGGAGGGGAGCAGCAGCGGGAAGTTGGGGCAGCGATATATGGCGGGGAGGAAGAGAGAAGAAGGTTGCGGGCTAAACCGAGCCGGCACAGCGGAGTGGGCAAGGCAGGGGGGTGGAGGGCAGACGGGCAGCCGTAGAGCCAGCAGCACGACGTACTCCGAAATTGAGGTGCGCGCGCCACTCCCGCAGCCGGCCCTCCGCCTCCTCCCACGACCACTCCGCCACCCGCGCCTCCCCACACTGCCCCACTCCCTCTCCCACTCCCGCTGCCGCCAGCGCTGCTCTCACCGCCGCGCCTCGCTGCCTCCTGGTGGTCATGGGAGTCAGGGGTGGTGAGGGACGGGCAGAGGCAAGGGTGGTGAGGGACGGGCAGAGGCAAGGGTGGTGAGGGACGGGCAGAGGCAAGGGTGGTGAGGGACGGGCAGAGGCAAGGGTGGTGAGGGACGGGCAGAGGCAAGGGTGGTGAGGGACGGGCAGAGGCAAGGGTGGTGAGGGACGGGCAGAGGCAAGGGTGGTGAGGGACGGGCAGAGGCAAGGGCGGTGAGGGACGGGCAGACGCAAGGGTGGTGAGGGACGGGCAGACGCAAGGGTGGTGAGGGACGGGCAGAGGCAAGGGTGGTGAGGGACGGGCAGAGGCAAGGGTGGTGAGGGACGGGCAGACGCAAGGGCTGTGAAGGACGGGCAGACGCAAGGGCGGTGAGGGACGGGCAGACGCAAGGGCTGTGAGGGACGGGCAGACGCAAGGGCTGTGAGGGACGGGCAGACGCAAGGGCTGTGAGGGACGGGCAGACGCAAGGGCTGTGAGGGACGGGCAGACGCAAGGGCTGTGAGGGACGGGCAGACGCAAGGGCTGTGAGGGACGGGCAGACGCAAGGGCTGTGAGGGACGGGCAGACGCAAGGGCGGTGAGGGACGGGCAGACGCAAGGGCGGTGAGGGACGGGCAGACGCAAGGGCTGTGAGGGACGGGCAGACGCAAGGGCGGTGAGGGACGGGCAGACGCAAGGGGTGGGGCGACTACGGAGTGGGGCGACTACGGAGTGGGGCGACTACGGAGTGGGGCGACTACGGAGTGGGGCGACTACGGAGTGGGGCGACTACGGAGTGGGGCGACTACGGAGTGGGGCGACTACGGAGTGGGGCGACTACGGAGTGGGGCGACTACGGAGTGGGGCGACTACGGAGTGGGGCGACTACGGAGTGGGGCGACTACGGAGTGGGGCGACTACGGAGTGGGGCGACTACGGAGTGAGCTCACTTGTAGGTTTGGAACAGAGTGTGCCGCCCGCCGTTCTCGAACAACCGCTTCGCCATCGCCTGCAGCCGCGCCACCATCTGGCCCCCCGCCGCACCCTCCCCCCTGCGCGCCGAGCCCTCGCAGCCGGAAAGGGCGTGCGCGGAGGCGGGCGAGGGCGGACAGGGCAGCTCGGGGAGGGGTGGCAGACCAACGAGCGCGGAGGGCGAGGTGGCGGACGAGGGGGGGAAGCACTCCAGCGCACTGGGGGTGGTGGCGGAGCAACGGACGGGAGAAGAGGGGATAGGGAGGAGAGCGCATTGTTGTAAAGGGAAAGCGCGAGGCAAGGAAGTGGTGGCGGCGGGACTGCAACGCGCGGTAGAGGTGCGGCGCGAGATGACGCGCGAAGTGCGGGGAGTAAAGTGAGAAGTGCGCGGGGGGTCAAGGGGGAAAGGGGGGCAAGGGCGCGCACTCGACAGCTCCGATGTGCCTCTCGAACACGGCGGCAAGAGCCTCCATGGCAGACGTCAGCAGCTGTCTGCTGCGCGCTATCTCCGCCTCCATGGCCCCCACCGCGTCCCGCACGCGGTCCACCGCCGAGTAGAACTCCGCCGCCGCCACCCCTGCGCCCCCTCCGCCCTGCCCCTCGCCCTCCGCCCCGCCCGCTAAGTCCAGCCCCATAGCCACTGCCGCCTCCAGCACCGGCTGCACCTGCACGCGGGGGGATGGCGCGGGGAGAGTACACGGTCGTGTGGTTGAAGGGCGGAAAATGGTGAAAATAAAGAATAGCTTTACAGGGTGGCATCCGACTCTCCGCGTTGCCCGAGCATCCGATGTCCCATCCGCCTTACCTCCTCGCGCACCGCGAACGGGTTGAGCATCAGGTACGTCGACTGCGACGCCAAGCTGCCCTCGTCGCCGCTGTCCTCACCCTCATCTCTCTCACTCTCCCCGCCATTATCCCCTCCCGTCTCCTCTGCTCCCTCCCATCTCCGACTTTTCTCCTTCACTATGCTCCCTTGCTGCTCCTCCTCCTCCTCGCTCTCCGCCCACTCCGTCCGTTCCTCATCCCTCCAAGTCTTGCCCCTCCGGCCCTCAAGGCTCTCCGACTGATGGTGAACGCGGCTGCCCGGGAGTTTGCTTCGACGCGGCACGCGGCGTCGCGCGCTGGGTCGCAGAGCCAAGCCCCCTGCAGCCATCAAAGGGCGCCCACTCGCCTGATAGGGCGGCGCACCAGCCAAAGCTAAACGCGGCGCGAAGGACGGGCGACGCTCAAACAAGAATTAACGCGTGGTACGGCAGGACCGCTCTGCTCTAGCTAGTTCCTGGCTTCGGTCTGTGCCCTCAATAGCCTATGCGGCTGAGCTGGACGAAGAAGGCACTCCCATGGCTCAGCGACTCTTCGACCCTAACGTTCCAGAAATATCTCCCAGAATATGCGTCAAACTCTATTTCCGCCTGTCCACTCTACACCGAATCAAAAGCGCCCTGCGTGTCATTGCTGCTGATGCGAAGTCGTACTCGGTGAGCCGTGTCCCAACATCCGCAGCACACAAAGCGAGAACACCAGCAGCAACGAGCTGGGAGGGGCGGATTTGAAGCAAGGGCAGGATTCAGAAGCTGGACCCAACTGGTTTGGCGGGGTGGACAGGGAATTTGCAAAACATTTTGGGCGCGCTCTGATGACGTGGTTTGTGCGATCTGGCTCGTGGGGGTCAACGAACTCGCGACAGCCTCCCATTGGTTGGGATAAAGGAATTCCCCAAACGAAGTGGCGCCAAATTCGCCTAGCGTGCGTGGCGGGCAAGGCGAGATTAGCATGTCCTCAATATAGTTTCCTCTCAACGGAGCAATAACGATAGCGCGATACAAACGTTGTTCTTACAGTATTCTACTGCGAAGAATCAAACATGGCATAATGAGTTCGAGCAATGTAGGTCGAGCAATATATGAGTGTCCTAAGTAAGCAATCTGTAAGGAATTACGATTCCTTACTGCGCTAAATTACAGCGCGTACACCCGAAGACCTCGACCTCGCAGGTTCGGCCTCCATTGTCAGCCCAAACCTGAGTTGCGTTCCGACACCCTCACCACCCTTCCAAGCCACCTCACGTCCCGAGGACGGCATGGATTGGTCGGGTCCTCCCTCCCCCAAGGAACGGACAGCTGTGGGTGTCACAACACTTATTAACTACGTGAGTTGATTAATAGTGCATTTAATTTGGTGGTTTTTGTATGACAAACATGCGTCGTCGGCAGCACATGACAAGATTCTACAACGAGTTCGACGGGCGGTTGAAGGAAAAAAAAAAAAAAACAAAAAAACGAGCCTTCCTGACGACGGCAACCTCGAGGAAACGCCAGGGAATTGTGGCCGCCAAGAGTACGCAGGATACAGGGCGAATGGCGCAGGTGATGTCATGTTCGTTGCTCCGGTATTTCCGGCACGAGATTAATGGGAAGAGGACGACGCGCGTGCCAACTTCCCAAAAAAATCGGATCTTGCAACCCTCGGCTAAATGACCGGATTTCAGCGGCTATGGAGATCGTCACCGATTAAATCGTCATCAATTGGCAGCCGAACTTCACGGAGGGCCACCGATTCTGTTCTCCCACGCCGAGCAGAGTTTCACTTAACCGGAGGGGAAACTCATGTTCGAGGAAACAACCATTGCCCCTGAAAGAAACAGGGAGTACGGGCGCAACAGCAGAGTTCCTACAGTTGATGGAGCAGCATCAACGCGTCCCCCAGAGTCACCGAGTGGAAGCGGTTCTTGCAACTTAGTGGAAGATGGATGGCGGCGGCCGAGGACCCAGTGGAAGTGGCTTTGTCGTGAGTCAGTAGCGGAATCGGCCACCTACTGACGGGGTTCTTTGCCAACCGTCCGAAGTCCCCCACCTGGTTGAGACAACTACAAGGTCAGAGGCTCCTGGCTGAAAAAGGAATGAATAAGCCATATTCGTCCTATGCTGGCGGAGGGTGCGACAACGGAGTGCTACAAAAAAAGGGGGGTACTTCGTGGTGTCAGAAAGGATTTGCATGGCTGCGCAGCGGTTGGTTGGGAGTTAATATTTTAGCTCCACCGACTAAAGGCATCTGCGCTAGCTTTTGCTCCGTCCTGTCCCGGATTACGGTTTTACAACTGTTTACTTCCGACAGAAGTGGGAAGCTGGGTGAACGACGACCCGTCGAAAAAGTCGGGGAAGCTGTGAAGAAATATTCGGCGTTGAGACTATTCCGTGGGTAGCTCGACACAGCATCCGAAGTTTTCAGGGTGTGGATAAGCGGAGGGAGTTGTCCCAGATTTTCACGCGCTAATACGACGCGCGATAATGCCTAGGAGCGCAAAGATGGGTGAACGTCGTGCGCTGCAAAAACGCCCGATACCAGGTGGGGAATTATTCGAAAACCAGCGGCGCAGCTGTTAAGAACCTCAAGTTTGGGGGTATCTGAGAAGCAGCGAAGCGGTTTTAGGTAACCTACAATAGTCGCGAGATAGGTGAATGTCTGCATGGCCAGCTGGTCAAGGGTACCAGGGTATTTTAAGAGTTTGGATTACAGCTGTGAGGAGATCGATGACGTATGATGCTCGCCAACCATGATCGACGGCCAAAGACATGTGCCCGGGCGGTGAAGGACGAGTACCCTCGATTAAAAGGCCCAGTTCATGCATACAGCTGGTGAAGGACCGATGGGGGTGCAGCTAAAGGACGGCGCGTCTGAGTTTACGGGTAGCTGCGAAGCACGTGCAGCTGTGAAACGGAGTTACAGTATTTGTTAAGTTATGGGAGAAGTTCCGACATTCTCGCTGCAAGAAACAGTGAAGCAATTCGAGGTTTTGCAGCTGGCGTGGTGGCCGCTATATCCAGGGGTACGAGCGACATAATCCAATTTTTGCGGAGTAGTTTGGTTTCATGGAGAGTGAATGAACAAAAGCTGTTTCGGCTCTTTCCAAAAATTTCGGCATACGGACAAAACGGAGTGGAGTCGTGTGACCTTGGGATCAGCTCGAGCGTGTTTACCGGATTGGGTCAGGACATGTCATTTTCCATCGCCATCGTCGTCAACTTCTCGCCAACACCCGCTACCATCTCCATCGTCAATTCGCCTACCTTTGTTCGCTATACAGAACACGACCCCGCCATCCGCCTGGAGCAGTATCGAATCGACAAGATTTGGCAGTAGTACTGTTGGAGCTATGTTGGGGCCAGCTCGCAAGCATTGGATTGACTCGTGAAGATCTTTCAGTTGGTCTGGTTATTTATGGAGCAGTGTTGCCAATTTTCAATACGTCAGAAACGGTTTGCCCTGCATAAGAATTCAATCTTGGAGCAAATTTCTGAGTTCTACCCGTTGGATTTTTACCGACGTTTAAGTCGCAGTTGGGGTATTTTACGCATACCCTGGAGCAGTAAGTTACCTAGAGGTTTACCTGATTTCGGGACACTGTTTCTTCTTGGAGGAGGGGGGGAGAGGTGCAGTTGCGCTGCATTTGTCCTCTGCAATTTTGTCATCACCAACTGACAGCCCACAGCGTCACTGCTCATTTATCCGCAAGAGTTTTCACCACTGCCCAATTTGGTCAGCCGAATAATCGACCATCCTTCAACGGTCACGATCTACTACGATCGTTTCGACAACTTCCGACCATCCGATCATTACTCAAGATTTACGGCCACGATTACTTTCGACATTTCAAGACAAGCGCCATGATGACAAGCCTGCGGGAATGCCATGTTCTACAGCCTCTGCCATCCGGCAATATCCTGCCAAATTAGAGTCATCGTCAGCCGTTCGATTTGGAGATATCCATCAGATTGACCTCGACAGTTTCGCCAACGACATTGCTGACTCGTGATAATCGCCCAACGGTTAAGACATCTCTCGACCAATTTCAGCCGTCGGATTTGGCTCGCCCAAGACTCGTCAGGACGGCGTAATCATTACGCTCGTTAGAAGATTTCAAAACCTAGAGTCACACTCGCGATTGGATTATTCATCCGTCGGAGTATCGCCTCTAGTGTAGGGAGGGCTTGTTTACTGTAGAAGGTGGGAGAGTGTAAGGAATTACGTTTCCTTACTGCGCTATATTACAGAGCATATACCCAAAGACCTCGACCTCGTAGGTTCGGCCTTGATTGTCGGCCCAAACCTTCCCGAGTCGCGTTCCAACACCCTTGCCACCCTTCTAAGCCATATCACGTCCCGAGGTTCTCGCCCTAGCACGTACGAGCCCTACTTTAGCCAATTCGCTCGTCACTTGCTCAATCAATTATTACTCCTAGGTTGTATTTCCATTACTCATTCGATTATTCCATTCCCACTCATAATGTTATAGTATGGAAAGTGTCAATGAAATATAACGTGAGAATACAAGGTCGCTATTGCAATGAAGGCACGATTTTATATAGGGGTTGGCGTGCTAGGGCGATAACCTCGGAATGTGGGTAGGTTCGGCAATGAGGCGACAGTGCCGGACGTGATGCGGAACAGGGTTGGGCCGATAAATGAGGTCGAACGTGACGAGCGAGGAGTTTGGGTGTACGCAATAACGTACGACACAGATGGAAATTCCTTACACTACCCCCCCCTTCAAAACGAGCCCGCGTACATCGGAAAGATTCCGACGCTGATAATACGCTGTTAGAATCGGGTGTGATTCTATATCAGCAAGGGGCATCAGAGGCTCGGTCGTCGGTTCTTGCAGGGGCGTCAACTGCGGGACGTGGCAATTCTGACAAACTTGGGACGTAGGGTCATAGGAGGCTGACGTGGAAAGCTGGGTGGTGACACCCATCAGCCGGGAATCGAAGGTGAGCTGTAACAAGTGTCACCATATTGGTCACTTGAAAAGGGGCACAAGAGCGGGGTCAGAGTTTGCTCAGAACCAGCAGGCGCAAGTTGCGAGTATCGAGTAGTACGAGATCCCCCACTTTGTATGTGACGTCACGTCGATGACGATCGGCTTGTCGGCTTGCGACCAGGTTGGCTTTCCGGATTGCCTCAAGCTGCGAGGATATTCTCGGGAAATCGCTGGGACCAGGGCACGGGTGTCTCAATGTTTGGTGTAGAGGGTACCACTGGGTCCTGTCCGCAATTTAGGAAAAATGGGGATTGATGTGTTGTTGCGGAAGGCGCATTATTATACGCGAATTCCAGCAGCGGGAGGGATTTTTCCCATGTCTGTGGGTCAGTGCAGGTAGTCCAAATGAGTTGCTCCATAGTTTGGTTGACTCGTTCAGTCTGCCCCTCAGTCTGTGGGTGGTAGGTGGAGGAAAACTGTAGTTTGGTGCCGAATTGGTCCCACAAGTGGCGCCAGAAATTCGATGTGAATTTCGGGTCTTGGTCTGAAATAATGGCGGTGGGCAGTCCGTGTAGTCGGATGACGTTGGCGATGAAAATTTTGGCAGTTTGCTCAGCTGTGATTTTCTGTTGGCAGGCAATGAAGTGCGCCATTTTTGTGAGTCGGTCAAGGACCACGAGGATGGCGTCATTTCCGCTGGGACCGGCTGGCAGTCGTGTCCCGTAGTCCATCGTGACGTGTTG